GTTTGGACTGTCGCAAGGTGAACAGTTTCACCGAAAAGGATGCATATCCTTTACCTCAAATTAGTGGCATTCTGAGTCGCTTGCCGAAGGCTGAATATATAACTAGTCTTGATCTAAAGGACGCTTATTGGCAAGTGCCTTTAGACGTGGCTTCGCGCGACAAGACAGCGTTCACTGTTCCTGGTAGACCGCTCTATCAGTTTAAAGTAATGCCGTTCGGGCTGTGCAACGCTACTAGTACAATGTCTCGGTTGATGGACAAAATAGTGCCAGCTCATCTTAGGAACGAGGTTTTCATTTACCTAGATGATCTCTTGGTAGTGTCATCTAGCTTTGAGAGGCACTTAGAAGTGTTAAGAGAAGTTGCGTTACACTTGAGGCGTGCAGGTTTGACGATCAATATTGGCAAAAGTCACTTCTGCATGCTGAGGGTTCGATATTTGGGCCATATAATCGGCGATGGTGGGATTCGAACTGACCCTGATAAGGTTGCAGCAATTAGGAATTTCCCATTGCCTACAACTTTGCGCAGCTTGCGAAGCTTTATGGGTCTGTGTGGATGGTATCGCAAGTTCGTTCCAAATTTTGCATCTCTTTCTGCCCCGTTAACAGATCTGATGACTACAAAAAGAAGATTTAGTTTGACTGAGGCAGCAATAAAATCGTTTGAGGAACTAAAACAATGTCTTAGCGAGGCTCCAGTTTTATGTAGCCCCGACTTCTCCAAACCTTTCGCTATACATTGCGATGCTAGCAAAACCGGAGTAGGAGCTGTGTTGGTGCAAGTTTCTGAAGAAGGAGACGAGCGTCCTATTGCCTTCATTTCGAAGAAATTAAATAAGGCGCAAAGGAACTACACAGTCACTGAGCAAGAATGCCTAGCAGCAATCGTAGCTCTTAAGAGTTTTAGGGCTTACGTTGAAGGACATAAATTCAAAATAATAACCGATCATGCTTCATTAAAATGGTTAATGTCTAATCATGACCTAAATTCGCGTTTAGCTCGATGGGCTTTGGCCTTGCAAAGGTATAATTTTGAGATTGAGCATCGCAAAGGTTCGCTTAACGTAGTTCCCGACTCCTTGTCTCGGGTGAACGAAGACGTGATAGCGGCAATAGACTTGCGGGAAGGATTCCTTGTGGATCTTAATTCCGATCATTTTAAATCAGAGGAATATACGCAGCTCGTTCAAAAAGTGAGTGGAAATCAGGCAAATTTTCCTGATCTCAGGGCGGATAGCGGATATGTTTATCGAAAGGCAGAGCATTTGACAGGAGAGCAAGTGCACGACGAATATGCTTGGAAGCTGTGGGTGCCTAAGGAACTGGTGCCTGAGATACTTTCTCGAGCTCACGATAGCTCGTTGTCTGCTCATGGCGGAATACACAAGACAATTGAGAGAGTCAGGCGGTATTATTTTGGCCAGGACTCGTGGCAGATGTCAAAGCCTACATCAATGCTTGTGAAGTGTGCAAAACAACGAAAGCACCAAATTATGTTTTGCGACCACCGTTAGGGAAAGCACCAGAAAGCCAACGATTTTTCCAACGCTTATTCATAGATTTTCTCGGACCTTATCCCCGATCTAGAGGTGGAAATATAGGTATTTTCATCGTGCTTGATCATTTTTCTAAGTACGTTTTTCTAAAGCCCGTAAGAAAGATCGACTCCAGTGTCGTTATAAAGTATCTCGAAGGAGACTTATTTATGTCGTTTGGTACTCCTGAAACGATTGTTTCAGACAATGGGTCTCAATTCCGGTCGCATGCATTTCAAAAGTTGATGCAGCAATATACTGTTACGCATACACTGACGGCAGTACATTCGCCTCAGGCTAACGCCTCCGAGCGCGTTAACAGGTCCGTCATCGCTGCAATTAGAGCGTATTTGAGGCCTGATCAAAAGGACTGGGACGAACACCTAAATAGGATCAGTTGCGCACTAAGATCGTCCGTGCATTCAAGCCTGGGTACTACACCCTATTACATGGTTTTTGGGCAGCATATGGTCAACTCCGGGTCCACATACTCTTTGCTGAGGAAGCTCAACCTTTTGGATGATCGATCCTTAAAGTTAAGTCGTCAAGACTCGTTTGACGTTGTGCGGGAGAAAGCATGTAAGCGAATGCTGGAGAAACACTCCGAGAACGAAAAGAAATACAATCTTAGATCTCGAGTTGTGTCTTATGCAGTGGGACAAGAAGTGTTTAGAAGAAATTTTAAACAAAGCAGTTTCCAGACCGGATATAATGCTAAATTTGGACCTTCTTTCGTGAAAGCAAGAGTGCGAAAGAAATTAGGAAGCGCCTACTACGAGTTAGAAGACTTGCAAGGAAAACCCGTAGGCACGTATCACGCGAAAGATATTCGCCAATGATCTGGCTTCAGTCGGCATCAGTCTAGGGTACCAGTGGTATGTATACCCTAGCCAGATGTTACCGGGGGGCTTTTGTAGTGGCGACTGAAGACCCTGCCACGGAAATCAGCCTAGAAGGATGCTACGCTTTATGTGAAGCCTAAGCCTAGCTTCGCCAGTTTTGGCGATCACGTAAAGGTGGTCAAGCGACTACGTAACAAAGCTTTGAGCAAGCTTGCACGTGCCGTAATGTAGAGCTGCATTTAATTAAAACGCGTTTTGGCATATTTAACAGAGAATTTACATTTGCTCTGAAGACGAAGAAGAGCGCATTTGCCAATTAGGAAATTTTTTCAAGCAGACTTTCCGTTTCCGTGGGAGGTCTTTTTAAATCAAGGTCTAGAAGAGCATAGACGTGTCGGGTGCTCGTAATTATCAATAAATCAGACAGTGGCAGTGAATCGCGTAAACCAAGTGTTGAAGTGGCCGCTGAAAGCTTCGCAGAAAAAGTGAGTAGAGAAGTGCCAAATTTGTGGGGCACAGTGAGTAACCTTTTTGTTGCCCAGGTTAGGAAAACTAGAAAATTGGAGGCAGCAAAGCAGCGTCGACGCACGGCCAGGGCCAAAGGTCGACAAGACCTTTCGCCAAGGGAAAATCCCTTAATTTTGTTACCAGGGCTCAAGCCAGCGGGTAATTATGAAAATAGAGTGTTTGTTAAAGGCAGTGCTTACTGTTTGAATGGAAAAATTTACAGATTGGGCCCTGCAGTAAAGAGTCAAGTCCCTAGGCAAGGTGTACCCCTAACCTGAGGGGATGAAGTAGAGAAGCTACAACCAGCGCAGGAGGAGCCGATCCCCAGGAAAAATCAGGCCAACAGCGCGGATGCGCAACTCATCTCTTGGCCAGCTTCGTGTCGGGAAAAGCGATTAATTCTTTTTTTTGTGAAAATTTTGCTAACCTCGCGGGTTAACCTTGACCTGACCCCTGTGTTCTAACCTCCTCCTAATGCAAGTGAAGAATAATTTTAAATAGGGTTTACCCTTAAAGCCCATTTTGGTTACTTTTTCTTCTGAGATTTGTGCGAACAATTTGCTCTAACAAAGACAATGTGATTAATGGCCCAAAACATTTGTTAATATTGGCCTTTGAATTTAAAAACTTATGCTCGAATTATGCTCTCGATCTGCTTGCGTCTAGCCGTGAATTTAATGAAGCCGAATAATGAAAATTTATGCTGAATTTCCAGTATTTTAATTTAATTTATTATTAATTTAGTTTTTTTTTATTTTTACACCTTTATTTTTTTACTTCAAATTAAGTTCCATTGTTGCATAGCAAAAAGAATAATAATATAAGAAAAATAGGGCCATTCGGACTTTAACCCCTTTTTTCCAGAGAAAAGCTTCGAGGGAGATCGATCTTCGCCGATGGAAAATTGAGTGAGTCTAAAAAAAACCATTCGAATGAAAACATGCAATTGAAAAAAAAATGAAAATACTTGAAAACTTAAACCATTTAAAAATGATTTAATTTAAAATATACAAAAATAAAATCTCCATAAGCTAATGCAACAATTGAAATTGAAATTGAAATGAACTAAAGACATGAAGTAAATTTATTTTTAATAGTTAATAGAAAAGAGAAAACATGAAGTAAACGAACATTTAATAATACAATTTAAATTTGATTTAAACTTTTAAGAAAAATTATTTCTTTTGAATTTTGTGCACAATTTTTAAACACATATATGTACATCTATGCACCTCCTTACATTTTTACATTTTAATTTTAGCTTATATTTATCTTTGTTAGCTTTAAGTATTGAATTAATTTTATTAAACAAGTTTTAATTTTAAAAATCATGTTAGCTTAAAAACCGGTATATACCGACTCGTAGGATGACTCCACGGTCGTAGGGTCCTGAAGGGATCACCAGAGCCATGCTCTTGCGGCAGGTGATCGTAGGTTGGGTGGGCACAAAGCGAGCACAACAACATCTGTGTCTCTGCATTGTATAGATTTTCTCTCTGTCTTCTCTTCTCTCTACTTCCGCTTTTCTTCTGTCTTCTTTATGTTGTGTGAATTTTGTTTATCATTTCTTCCGGTTTTGTTCTAGCTCTTATTTTGTCGCAGCACGCTCAATTCTAGTCTTTGTAATAATAATGTGTAGTCGTTGTCCGAGATCTGGGTGAGCAAGACCTCCACCCCCAAAGCCGACGAGCTAGAGCCGGAAAAATAAAGCGTGCCCCAGCAGCCCAGATCCTCACCAACCACGACGAACTTTATGGTTGCACGCTACATTGATTGCAACCCGTCCCGCCATCTGACAAATGCAAACATCGAGGCAATGCACGGCAGTGAGGTCCAGACATGGACACAACCCCGAGACTGTTGGAGCTGCAAAATTAAAGCAGTTCCTGCTGGCTGAAATTGAATGAAAACAGAAAAACACATGAAACACACGACGAGCAGACAGAGCTGGAGCCGGCATCGGAGTCGTAGCCGGTACCGGAGACCGTGGTCTGTGGGCAGTTGTCCGTGACCGGACAGCCGCAAAAAGTATCTTTAATCGGATTTAAATGGAACGCTTTTAAGCAGCAGCAATGCCCCACCTGTGAATCCTCGGGGAAATGCGAACAAGTTGTTATTTTTCTGCCCCCCGAAACCAGGAATACTTTTATTCACCACGTCACTTATTCCACGCTCAGGAACGCATGTCTCGGAACTTTCTGAACCTGGAGCCAGTGATCAGTACAAGTCCCAACATTTGCCAGCTAGAGGGCATGAGATTCACTAGTCGGTACATCAGGGCTGCGAGTCCTGGCAGCAGGACCTCCTGTTCCCCGCGCATCATTCCTTCCACACTGCGTTTTGCCATTTCCTGGCCACTGATCAGCGGATACAATTGGCCAATTCCCACTTGTCCCGACATATCCGTCACCTCGTCATTGGTGGTCAGGAATGTGGGGAATACGGTGGTCACATGGATGTCCTTCTGCTTCTCCATAAACAGCTCCATGCGAAGGGACCGCATGTGGTACGCCACTCCTGCCTTGGTGGCCGAATAGGTCGAACTATATGGCAATGGAAAAATACCTGTTCGAAAGATATATAAGATAAGATTATAAGATATCGAAAGTAGAAGATAAACTTACCTCCCAGAGAACTGATGCTGAGGATATGCCCCCTCCGCAGCTCCTTCATTTTGGGCAGGAAAACGGACTTGGTCTGGAAAGTAGATGAGTGTTAAAAATACTTGAAATAAACCGGAATTGAATAGTAATTATTATCAGTATACTACAACGCACCCAGAAGTGTGACGATAGGTTCACATCTATCATAAGCTGCACTTCTGCGGGATCAGGGTTAATGCAATTACGATGTAGCAAAACTCCGGCATTGTTAACCAAAACAGTTACCGGTCCCAGATCAACAACCACTTTCTTATTCAGCTCAACGAGTTGCTCAATACTTGTGACGTCTACCTATAAAATTATACCGGTTCAAGGGTAATTACAAGTATGTAATTAAATGTTTTTATACTTTGTGCGAAACGAGAGTGATTCAAAACCAGTTTCACTGTCATTTTACTTTACTTACCTTATAAGGCTTAGCCTGAACATCATAGCATTGTTTAATTTCCTTCACTGTGCTCTCGGCGCCGGTCAAGTTGATATCGACCACAGCAATGTGGCATCCCTTTTTGGCCAGCTCCAGGGAAATGGCGCGACCCAGACCATGTCCTCCACCTGTTACCTGGACAACATAAGGGAAAATCATTATTCAACTTCATTGATTTTACCACAGGACAAAGGTCTAAGTCATGCGTTTTTATTATTATTATTATCAAGTCTATTAAAACCACTTTAAAGATACTTTATTCATACAAAGTTTTACAACAGTTTTAGCCTGTAATTTGACTTGCTGCTAATTGTTACAAATTAAAAAATTAATAATGTTCATATTAAAACATATGCACTTTTGCACCCTTTCAAGGCTGTTATAACTTGAGTCAGAAGCTTTTAAAGTAGCGAAGGAGTCATTTCCAACCCTTTAAACCAAATATATTCTTGATCAGAATCAACAGACAAATCGATCTGACCATGTCCGGTAAACAACAAAATTTATAGACCTAACAAAAACTAGCATAGAAACGCTTTCCCAATTAAAATTAATCCGTTTTTGCCTAAGTTATGAGATTTGTAATCTTTGATTTATTGGCTTTTTTAACTATTATTAAAATCATTTAGATTTAGGGAATCCTAAACTATGTATTTGCAAATAATTTGCTCAAGTTCCAATAAGTGTAACTTATAAAGTTTTTTTTTAATACTTAAACTCTATATATTCTATTCTATTTGAATCTACTTTCATATTTCAAAACTTTAAAGAAATGACAATCAAAATGTAATAACTTTGAAGCTACTGTGCAATTTTGTTCGTTTCAGACCCGCTCTATTGCCAATTTTGGTAATTAAGTGTGTCAAGATTTTGGTGGCCAAAAACTCACCACTGCCACTTGACCGGCGATACTCTTCGGGGATGAGCAGCAGCGGCTGAGCTTGGCGAACAAGTTGCTCAACACGGCGGCAACGATGATCAGTGGAGTGATCGCCACCAAACCGATCAGTGATACGTGCGCCTGCGCCTTGACCAGAGTATTCCACACCGACATTTTCCGTGATATATCAGAGCCACGTCCGAGTCGCGAGAGACGCAAAACCGCTTTGATTGTGAATTCGAAACCCGAATCTCGGATCACTGATCTCGCATGCCACTCGCGAAACTGAGAAACTGGCTTTCCGACATCAAGAGTTTGCATTAAAGTCACCCCATTCCGCGGTGACCCTGCGCGAACGGAGCTCGGCAATTAGCAGTGACTGCGATTTATTCAATACTAATGCAGGGCAAGTGTTTGCAAATGAGAGACCCATTTACCACAGGCTCCCCCAAAAAAAATAATAATAATAGTCTGGGCTAGCATTGTCGGCAAATAAATAGAAAAATCACCTCCTGCACAGATGGGACAGCCGCGATGCGGTAAGTAATGTTCGATATATATGAACACACCAGGAAAGGCAACATTGGTTTTAATACCAAGTGAGAGTTCTACTCGACAACGAGATACCGATTATCTGATAGAAGACTTTCTTAGGTATCTTTAAGTATAATTTCTGAACATTTCGTGTCTGCTCCGAATGCCTCAGAGGTATCCAAAGTCAAAGAAACAACCCGTTTCCCTGTACATCCCCTGCTTAGTATACCCTTCTCCTGTACCATTAATGGGTACCAAAAATAAAAGAGCCGAGCATGCCCATTAGTAATAAATAAAAGCAATTTTTTGTGAACTACAAAAAACAGCGGAGAGACTACAAATGTACAACAGGGGCACACATGAGCATCCAACCCCTCATATACATATAAACACAAACACTCTGAGCTCCAGCTCAATAAAAAACAAGAAGGAAAATAACATCGAGAGATGCCAACGAAAAAATGATTTTCTGACAATAAAGTGGATATCCATAAACGAAAACGAACAGAAAAAAAATCGGAGCACCAGCTCACATATATGTATATATAGACAAATGGAAAATAGAGACAGGCAAAGGATAATTTTATATTGAAGTAGAATGGTTGGCCAGATGAGTATAGAGCGGGAGGGAGCACTTGCCGGCTGTGGTTTTTAGTTAAAAATAACAAAAGCGAGCGACAAAAACGAGAATCGTGAAATATGTATATTTCATTTGGATATTATTCCAGGGTGCCTTAGCTATCCAATGAAGTTTGCCATACATTTTTATGCCATATTTGATAATTGGGTGATGTGAAAAGTTCTTAAAGTATCCCTTAGCCTATAAGTATAATAAATTTAAAGAATTTACTACTATTTGGCTGTTTATATAATTACAAAAGTGTATTTGAAAGTTAACTTTATAAAAAAAGCACTCTCTTAGCTCTTTCCCACTTTGGCAATGGCATTTTAATAGGGCTTTAGCTTGGTCAAGGTGCAACTAGAGCAGGTTCTCCACACCTGCTACTGGGGACTACATTTCTCCCCAAAACCAGTCAGTTTGATATCAATTTTTTGCACTTGAATCACTTGATCTTTGGTCGATTGCTACTTGAAGATCTCCCCTCGATCTCAAGCTCAACACTCTGCGATGTCTCAATTCTTCGATCACTGCAAATAAAAACGATGCCAAAATTGGAAACTCAAACATATGGGGCCTAGAATGCTCCTCCCTTTGTGTCTCCTTGCATTTTGGCGCAATTACGAGTCCTACTTCTTTACTGAGGAGGACACACGTGATGCAATTTTTTATTTATTTAAGCAAATACTTGATTTTATTTTGGATGTTGCCAAAATCGGGTCACACTTTCTGCACGTGGTGTCTCTTTGCATGCGACGCTTTTTTTTTGTGGCTATTGATATGTGCCTTCGATGATTTATGGACTCGGCGGCGTCTGCGTATTTTGCGGGCAACAGGAGCACATGGCACATGGACATCCTTAATCCAGATACTCTTTACATCCCGCCATGTGCCCCTTGATTGTCAAAACTCTGTGCCACTCAGCGGTGCTCGCCCGACAAAAAACACTTCAGCTTAAAGGGCACTCAAAGTACACGGGCACTGGTGAAGAGAAGTGCTGTCAGCCTTGAACCACGGAAGCTAGCTAAATTAGGCACTGAAAATAAATAATTAAGAAAGAAAAACAATTCAAATTATATATAAAAGCTAATATCTAACATACAGTATGTTATCAATAAAAAGTACTATTTTGAAGTCAAGTGATATAACCTATTGAACCTAATACACACTATCAATTGGTATAGTATCTATAAGCTACTATTTATAGTATTTTCACATGCTTTATTATATTATTGATAATAATAATCTTAGCCATTTTAAAATTTAAAGAACTGGCACCTCAAATCCTTTCTTATACTTTTTTAAATAGCGAAAAGATAACCCACAATAGCTGAAAGGACACCGCTGATGTAGAATATTATCCGGCAGTGTCAGAAAAATGCAGAGGAGTACTTGAGGTAACGGATTAGAGGTGGTTAATCCTATTCCCCAAGGTTTCCCACGGCAAAGGACCCAACGAATTGGAAGCAAGGGTTGGCATGCCGCAGCTGGCAGGGAAAAAAGGGAAAAACTGAAAAACGGAAAAGTGTGGAGCGAAGTTTGAGTGCTCAAACGCGTTAATCTCGATTGCTTTTCCATTTTTTCCATTACTTTTCTAATATTTCATATTAGCATGCCGGGCGGAGGGCACTCAGAGTGGAGCTCAGGAGTCTTGTAAGAGACCAGAGCTAACCAAAAAAAAAGAAAAAGAAATAGGGAAAGGGCGAGGCAATTTCTCAGCGCAACTGTCAACACCAATCTGAAGTGCTACTGCAGCAGCAACAGGACCTAATGAGACAGCCACGGATAACATGCCATTTTCGATTGCGATCCCAGCACATGTGTTTCAGTTTATTACAATGCAACAAGTACACGGCCAGTAAATGTAAATAAATTAGCTGGTCGTGTAATGCACAAGCCTCTCGAGGACCGAACACATTCTGCAATATGACACCAGCTAGGACACTGGCAATGCCAGCTACTGCATCCAGGCATCGCTTCAATGTGTTTGTTTAGGTGCAAGGATAACAGTTTCTCACGCCTGCCAGGAGCATCCGCAGTCGAAATCCACTTGAACCCGTTCTGACAGTTGCATGTCATAATTTAACAGTCGGAAAATGCGCGGCAGGTTGCCATCCTGCAGGATAATCAAGTTGCAGCTCCCGCTCCTGCTCCTGCTCCTGTTTCTGATCCCGATCCTGATCCCTTTTGCTGTTATTGTTTAGCTGAGGTTTCCCCACATGCCTACGGTCGCTCCACATTCCTCTTTTTATAGCTCCCAGAGATTTTATTGCCGCCTGCGATGGGATAATCCTTATTGACATATTTATGCACGGTTCAAGCAACGAAATGGAAATTTTTGGCGTCGCATGGTTCGCTGGCATTTGCCTCTCGTGAGTGGGCGTGGCCCTGGGCTAATGGGCACCACATGTAAGTGTCTCTAGGTGAATGAATTAAGGTTCCGCCTCCACACTCCAGTTTAGTTTCACACAGAGAGGAATAGTTTCATACGATTTTTAGATATTTCAGGTTATTAATATAATTTATTAAACTAACAAGAGATAAGAAGAAAGACCAACTTTGGGAAGACCAAGTTTATATATGTAGCCTTGCAATTTTGAATTGGATAGGATCGAATCTTAAATCAATCATAACTAGGCTTAAAATATTATTTAATATTTTTACATGAAATTTTTTTTTCGACAAATCAAAGCTTAAAAAACGCACAACTAAGCCAAAAATGCATTAATTTCAATACGGAAAGTGTTCCAATGTTAGTTTTTATTAAGTTAATAAATCTGCATACTCAGTTTCAAATTTAAAGAAATTTTTTATTTGTTAAATTTTGACAATTTTAAATTATAAAAATTTAAATTTTTCAAAAATTTTGAAAAAATTAAATTCTTGCCGGATAAGGCCAAATCGATTCGTCTGTTGATGCTGATCAAGAATATATATGATTTATAGGGTCGAAAATGTTTCCTTTACTTCATTTCAAGCTTCGGACTGAAAGCATAATACCCTCTAAAGGGTATAAATGGAATTGTTTTGAATGAATTCATGCTCCCTCTGTTATTTAAGAAGCAGACAAAAAGGGTTGTCGTTTGCATGTTTATATTCTAAAAAATTGATTCCAGGTTTAATATAAGCAAAAATGTGATAATAGAGAAAATTCTGCATTTAAATTTCGATATGAATATTTAGTTTAAAAAGGGTGTATTTTATGTAAATACAATGTACATTTAAATACAAAAATAAATAAAAGGACTGCAAGAATTATTACAAATTTTCGTTCTCTGCAGTAGCAGTGGCACTTTCCATTTGAGTTCGAGTTCAAGGCGCAGCGCACATGGCTGTCGAGTTCTATGGGAATTATCTAAGGAAAATACGTTACATTGAGCAGCCAACACCTGTGTCAATGCGACAGATCGGGCGTTGGGCTTCTGCTTAATGCTCGTAATTAATTTTCCGTGCCACAGACAGGAGCACAGGCACAGACACAGAAAGAGACCGGGACAATGGAGGATGTCCTGATGCACGGCATTAACTGAGCATGCAAACGATGCGTCAACGATGGTCCTCGGCCCAGGCGGCAAACGCTATTATTTACACAACAAACACTTGTAATTACACAAAGGGGAGGGAGATGGAAGCAGGACGGAGCCGCAATTAAAAGCGAAAGGATAAAAATAAATAAATGAGCGACACAAAAGGGGCAGACAAGATGGCTGCAGCTGACTTGGATGATGGGGGCCCAAGACAAAGGCTAGTTCACTAGCAACACCGGCAACAACAAGTACATATACCTAAAACAAGTACAACTATAACACCACGGCCCGAAGACAACAATGACAAACGGACGGATGAACGGACGGCATTAAATAATTGCTCATACACAAGTGTCTACGCATAAAAGCAGCCAGAGGAGCTGGACGGACAGAGGAACAGGACGAGACCAAGCGGAGCAAAAAATTGCCAAGCACGTGTTGCAGCTCGGAGAACCATGGCCAAGCCCCAACCAGACCCCATCCACCTTTTCGTCTTGGTGTGTGAAAACTAGTTAACAGCTTTTATTTACTTGGCAAACAGACTGAAACGTTGTAAAACAACAAATGCCTAAGCCGCAGGACATAAGCATAACAAGGCTTGCACAAAAACACACGTCCTTGCACTGAAGAAATTTAGTTGACTTAAATGTCGGAAATAAAAACATAAAAGAGGGGAATTATATATCCTTTCAAGTCCCAGCTTAATACAATAAATCATGTTATACATTCAAGGCATAAATAATGTCCTTTGATATTTCCTTAGTTATACATTTAAGACTGAAATAAACCTAAATCTTTTTCCGTATCTGTATGGTCACGCAGGGATGGGATAGAAACATGACCAGGCCGTCTAAAAACTACCCGTTGTCCACTGCGGTCAGCGGAATGGAGACGCCACTGATGGAGACGCGCGTGCAACTGACTGTGCCGCTTGGATGTTTTATAACCAAAGTGAAAAGTTGGAAAACAATCGCCTCCGATGCTGCTCCAGGCAGGATGCCCCCGCCCCAGGATGCCACTAAGCTGGGTACCGTAACAAAGTTCACTCAGTATTCAGCTCAACTTGACTCGGTCAGCTGGTCAGCGGTCAACGTGGCGTATACTCGATGGCCATATACTCGTTGCCTGCTGCAGGGGTCTGTAAGAAGGCCATACACGTAAATTATATGCCTTTATTTAGGCGAAACAATGTTGTTGACCAGCATCAACTTGATGGCCACAACAACGGCCAGTGTAATGCAACAACAGAAACATGAGCAGAAACATGAGCAGAAACAGAAACAGAAATAGAACAGAAACAAGTGCAGGGGACCAGGAACAACAATGAAACTTTTAGCAAACAAACGAGCTAAACTAGGCGCTTTCAACTAATGACGACCGAAATGCATTGAAATTTGTGTTAGAACAACCAGTTGAGCCTCGGGCTGGGGGGTCCAAGAACATCAGCTCGTAAACTATGCTGAAAATTCAATAACCAAGCGAGAACAGACTCAAGAACAGATCCCCGAAAATCTCTGAATAACCCAGGCAAACAACAAGCCACCGAAGGACATTTTGCAAGAAAAATGCATCTGCATACGAGCGCATGTATTGTACATTTTCCGGTTGATGACAACAAAAGCCTGCTTAATGACAATAATAACAGATTTGCCAACCACAAAGAAGACTTCAGGAGAAGCATACTGTCTGTTCCAGTTGCAGGTCGGTTAATGGTCTGTGCATGGCAGGAAGTCCACTTCTGGGGTGTTCCACATATCCTTGCTGCTGCCACTTTGAAAGAAAATTCATTAAGCGACAATGCATAAGCCAGAGCCTGGTTCTGGACGTGGACACAGGAGCTTTATCCTGTTAATAACGAGAGGAGACCACAACCGCAGCAAACCATTTCCTTTCCACCGACGATGATTGGCTCAATTTGCCTCCAATTAAAAATAAATTGAGGCACCTTGTTCTGCCGCAAACTAAATGGTTGCACTCCCCAACCACTCCGATCCACATTCATGCAACTCGCTTTCGAAGGCGAGAAACGCGACCTCCGCAGTATGGGGCCAAAACAAAAAATTGATTTCAACTTCGGTTGCCGTCGAGCCTTTGTATTTATAGCCCGTATTGTCACTTTCCGCTGCTCTATAGAGTTCTTGAAAAGAGAGCATAAAACAAACAAATCATGCACCGATACGCACACATAAAAATGCATAAATATTCTATTTTGAGTTGACATTTTGACAAGTGAATATGAATATTGCAGGCGCTGAGTACAATTTATAATTGATATGTATAAATAATGGACAAAGCCATTTTGTAAATGGGTTTAATGAAATGAACGAGCGAGGCTTTTGTAATATGCCGCCAGCAAAAAAAATTTTGCAAAGTAAAATAAGTGCCTAAATCGTAAACTCTTATTAGCGATACCCTGTAACTAGTCATAAATAAAAAAAAAGGAACCAACTTTTTGAAATCTTGCATAGAAAATCGGTCATAACTAAGTCAAAAATTCATTAATTTTCAAAAAAAATTATATTTTTTAAAAGGTTAATAAATCAGCATACTCAATTTACAATATAAAGAAATTAAATTGTTTCCCAATTTTTGAAAATTTTAACGATGCAACCCCTTATAAAATTTTCAAATTTCGAAAAAATGTTCAAAATTTATTTTTCAACCGCTAGAAAGATTCTCCAGTTGATGCTGATCAAGAATATATATGATTTATAGGGTCGAAATGACTCCTTCTGACTAAATATATAGTATCCTGCAATAATAGTAGTAAATACTCTTTTAATTTGTTCCTTTCCACTTGAAATATTACTTAATAAACACAAATATATCTTGGTTAGGATTATGCTGCTATAATATACAACCCTGTTGTAAAAATAATATCTCTCTCTTTTGTATTAAATACCCTGTTTGTTTTGACTATTTCATTTATTAAAAGCAAAAGTGCCTAAAGTCAATTAACTAAAATTTCGTTAAATAAGTTTTTGGCAAACAATTAAAATGATGTGGAATAATGTATGAAAGCATAGGAACATTTGCTTTACACTCCAGAAATTCGAGCTTTAAATATATACAATTATTCAGCATAAAAAGGTCAGAGTTTAGATTGAGACAAATTTAAGTAAATTTGGAATCAATTTTGCCTGAATGGATAACGATGAGAATCAGGTGCAGCCTGTGCTGGAAACCATTCCGCCTGGCAATCGGTGGGCAGACTTGGCAGAGATAACCAGAGGCTCGGAGCAGCTGATGGAGAGTGTCACCTGTAGACTGGATGCCCTGAACACGGCGCTCGATCGTCTGGAGGAGCGGACTGATCGAATTCTTGTGGAGCTGCGGCAATTGGTTGGCACAGAGAATCTGCGCAAAGGTCACGAAGGCTGTGGAGATCCAGGTGCCGATGAATAGGCTAATATAATTCATCATTTAAGTCTTTCACGATATATACTATATGTAATTAAAGGATAACGAATGCTTAGTAGATAATTTAGATGTTAAATAAATTCGAGAATGCACATCATCAATCTTTCTCTGGGTCGAATCGAGTGGAATCGAAATTGAAAAAAACTTTGCGGGGGCATTAAGGCAAGCAGAAGATCCATAAAACGCTCGACAGTTTGTTTGTTTTTTATGAGAACTGTAACCCTAGCGCACAAATAATTAGTGAGCTATTTTTATGGATCGGCAATGCCGCTGCGCCTGCGCACCCAGCACCAAGTTCATGGAGTGCTGGGGCACTGGAGTTGGAAGCTGGGGAACTGAGGAGCATCAGGTGCTGGGGGTCTCCTCACATAATTGTAATTAGAATTTACATTCTGGAAGGCAGAAGCTGGAGGGACTGAGTCTCGTTTGTTTGTGTTTGTGCACATGTTGCTCGGCATTTGAAGATTTCAGCGTGCACTTAATCACTTGAGTCGCGTCCTCACCATATGGGGTCCTTTTCCGAGAGCCGGCATCTGGCAGGTTGTATATAGATGATGGTATAACCTGTTAACCCGCCACGGCATTGAGCCCGAAAATATGCCACAAAGCTATCGGTACAACTGGCACTCGACTGCGTTTAATTAACAATTAATGAAATTGCAATTTGCACAACCCTCCGGCGAGAACAGACCGGGGATATTATGTTAATGGCAGTGGCTGGATGGGGCACTTGCCCTGGTAATTCTTCATTAATCAGCAACGCAATCATTTACGTAAATCGCAAGCTGCAAAAGCCGGGAAAATGAGAGCCGCCAAACCTAATTGCAAGTTATGAATATCTCATCGAATATTAAATCGATGGCAATCGCATAACTCCGACAAGCCGCGACCACGTCCATGTCGGCTCTGATGATGATGATGATGATGAGGATGTTGTTGATGTCGACGAAGGCGATGAATGGCAGTGGTCTGTGGGATGTCCCGTCGGAAGTGGCGACACTTAATTGCTTATTGAGTGCGTTTTCAATTTTTATTGAGCTCAGCCCCGAGAGTCATATGCATTGTGCTGCGGCCTGGCGTGGTCATTAAATCTGTGGCTGGCTATGCTGGAAAGTAGGCTACAAATGGCAATCGATCCACCTGGGCGGGAACGAAAGCCCGGAGGCGGGTGCGCAGTAACTCCCCAACTCATTAGCACTATCGGGAACATGGAGATAACCACGTAATAATCGATGCTGGATGCTTGTCATCCTTATCAGTTGGAGGGCACATGCAAAAATATTTTTTTTTCGGGTATTTCGGGTATCTGAAGTCAGTCAGTCGATAGATGTCTTTGCCGCATTTCGGTCATAGTGAAATGAGAGTTGTAAACTGGTTAACAATAGTTTTGGTGACCTTGCTGGGTCACCGCTCCCTGGCTCTGGAGTTTGCAGAGTGCGAGAGTGCCCCACAAATGGGAGTTTACGTGGCCAGCATCAGTAACTGTTCCAAGTACATTTACTGCGCCGGACCTGGATCCTTTGAGGCGGAATGCCTGGACGGTCACTACTACGATGCGAAGCAAGAACGCTGCCTGGATAAGGAGCTGGTTATGAGGTGTCAGCCGCTGGTTACCACCACTGAGCCACCGGTAAAGCAAGTAGCACCCACAGTGGCCCCAAAGACGGAACCTCTGACCATCACCCTGGAGGAGTTGCCCAACGCCGGACCCTGCTATCCCTATATGGTGTGCTACGAAGGAGCTGGCCTGGCCAGATCCTGCACTCCCGCCCATCTGGTGTCCTGTAATCGCCGCCAGTCGCCGGGCATTATCACCAGCTGCCAGGTGGGCGTTTATGGTTTTATGCCACATCCCCTGAACTGCGCCTACTTCTATTACTGCTCCAGTGGCCACAAGCTCCTCCATCGTTGTCCGGTCAACTACACCTGGCACTATGAACGCAGCTCCTGTGTGCAGCAATCCGAGAAGAAGTGCTTCTCCGAGGCCCTGCGACTGCGAAGACGGAAGCCAACGCGGGCGGCAAAGCCCAAGGTGTAACGCTCGCGTTACTGTTAGGAAGATATATTTAATTTAAGTTAAGGTTTCGTATAAATAGCTAAACATTTAAACCTAGCGTAAGCAACAGTTGAATTAAGAACTGCGAATGGGAAACCAAAAAGCTTCGAGCTCTCCGCGTAAATGCTTTTGGGATGGTATGGTATGGTTCTCACTCCTCACTTCCAGTAGAACAGGTGAGCACTTCGCACGTCGAAGTGGTAGAAGCGCAACAGCATGTAGTCCTGCCACTTGGTGGGCAGCAGTCTGGGAAGGAAGCGGAGACAATAATCGTTAAAAATAGTTAGCGCACGACGGGCTAATTTCATTCCCACCTGAGGAGCCACACACTGAGTGCGAATATTTTTGGCACGTACACCATGCGCTCGTTCAGGAGCACGCCCTTGACAATCTTCTCCGCCACGTAGGGAGTGGACAACCCGGGGTAGCTTTGTGCTATGCTAAAGGAAAGAATTCGAATCAGGCAATCGGGTAATGGGAATCCAGGAAATCTCACCCTGCATCGCTGAGCAGAGGCAGATCTCCGCTGGTACGCATCAGGTAGGCATTGGCCACTGTGGTACGCACATAGTCGCAGTCCGACAGACGGAGCTCAGCTCGCAGTGACTCCATGAATCCTTCGATGCCATATTTAGTGGCCGTGTAGATGCCAGCTCCGGGCAAAGGAACAAGGCCTTCATGGAAGATACTAGAGTTAATTCAGGAGATCTACTTAACTAAAGCCTTCTCCTTACCAGCCAGGGCATTCACTGCCACCAGGTGACCAGACTTGCGGGTTATCATCTTGGGCAGAAACTCCTTAGTGGTCTGGCCAGAAATATACGAAATATGTAATGTTAAGATTCATGGATGATAAAGTCAGAATACTCACCATTATGTAAGAGCCCAGATTCAGCTGCAGAATCGTGTCGATTTCATCGCTCTTTAGCGAGGGCGTTGAGGTCATGGGCATAAGGGAGGCATTGTTGACCAGTATGTCCACGGGACCCAGTTCCTTCTCCACCTTGGCGGCCATCAGCTGAAGCTCCCGCGGCGAGGAGACGTCATTCTGGAACGGATACAACACGTTATTGGGCTACCTCGATGGTGGAATGATCTCACCTTGTAAGCCTTGGCCACACATCGCGGGATCTTGGAGAGCAGTTCCACCGTCTCATAGCAACCCTTGGAGTTGACATCCACCACAGCCAGCTTGCATCCACGCCGAGCCAACTCCAGGCAGATCTCACGTCCTAGGCCACTGCCACCGCCGGTCACCTGTGTGTGCGAAAGAAAGATGGAATTGCGCGATTCACTCTCATTATACTTGAACAAATTAATTAGCTTAATTTGCAAACAATCAAGTCGAGCTAATGCGACTTTTGCATTGAACAAAACCCCATTTACCGCCAATTATTTGAGAGAGCAGCGACTTATGAATGGCATTACGCATACGCTCGGTGGGCCGACCCTCTCGGGCACAATTGAGTGACTTTTGACCGTAATTAAAGCGAACTGACGACTGTGTGACCTCAGCTGGCTTCTCCACTGAGGGTGGGTCACTGTGTCGTAGCCCCAAAGTTTGGCACGTTCATGCACAACAAAAAAACAATGGAAAAGCTAATAACAATAACAATAACAGTTGCCAGCACATGGCAGTGCGCAGTTGTTGTTGTGGTTATACCATTGCTGAAGAATTTCAATATCATATGCAAATTAACAGCGGCAACAGTTACTAATAGAAGCGTTGAATTCTATCTACGCATCCGTGAGATACCAGATATAAGTTCTATCTTTTGCCTCGGAGATCTCTCTCTCTCTCTCTCTGTTTTTGTTTACTCGCAAGTCGGCCAACGTCATCGGTTGTGCTCGAAGCTGAAAACAAAAGTGAAGTGAAGTTCCTGAGGTTTGCACTTTTGAGCTCTCTCTTTCGTCTCATCTTGTTAAAAATGCGGCGACACACACAGAAAACCAGTTTATAGCCGGCCAGAGGCGCAGGAAAAGGGGGCTTTCAAGCTGACATTACCCAAATTTATTTACAAATATATCTCAAAAGTCAATCTACTAATTACTTTGCTTCTCACAGGTGGCACGGGACTGGTGGCCCCCCTTTTCCAACCAGCTCGCCCCTGTCAGGCCCAAAACCGCAAAATGTATCTGTATCTGTATCTGTAGTCGTTGTTGTAGTTGTATCTGAGGGAACGATCAAAAAGTTGAGACTAAAACAAAAATCGGGCTACAATGATTCATAATGGCGATACGTGAGACGCTTATGGCCGGCACACGCCTACATTCTGAGCCCAGAATGGAATGCTAATGGTATCCGAACCCGATCGGGTTCTTTACCATCCAGAGCATCACCTACACACTTGACCTTGACCAGCAAAGTGGCGTCCGGCCCCAATTGACTTTTCCATTTATAAGGCGCCACAAGTCAATGTGTAATACATATGCGATTAATGGACCGCGATACAGAACACCGTTTGTGAGCGTTTTCGAAATTCAATCGAAGATTTCCCTTGGCTTACATGGAAATGATGTCACATTAGCTGACCGAGGAAAGCATTGCAAGCATAAACACAAACAGTTGGCCAACTAACACAGCTGGGCACCAAAGTACCATAAATATTTACTTTAATAACTCAGACCCCAGCGATCGGCGACCGCACCCAATAGCTAGTTGGAGACATCGCACAAAAACTGAATAAAAAATAAAAAAAAAACGGAATAAAAGAAAAGCGGGAAAGCGTCTATGGGTGGGAGCTTGGAGTGGGCCAAAGGTGGGAGTGGAAGTGCAGCCACTGGAAAAGGAAAGTGCGTGACGTTGCGTTTCGCTTGGCTTCTAGCTAGCTGGCTTTATGCCAGATCGTTTATCTGACAGATACTCTTGTCAGATGTGTATCTAAATACACTGAGAGCTATGTGATCTCTTGGTTATTAATTAATTGCCAAATAACATTTTTTTTTTTTTGGTCACTTCTATGAAGGTGTATTAACTAGCTTTAACTACCTTCAGGTTTTCTAAAAAGAACCTACAACTTTCATGATTTCCCCTTTGAAAGAAAAGCCTGAGAAACATATATAAAAGCATTTGCATAAAGCAAACAAAATTAAGTAGTAATCTCTAACTATCTTTTCCCAGAGAAGACTTTAAATTACATGGCTAAGCAGTTAACCCAAAAAGACTTCTTACCAGTGCCACCTTGCCGCTGACATCCTTCTCCTTGAGTCCCAATGCAAAGAGATAATCCAGCAGATGCTTCAGGAAGACAGCAAACAGAATCAGTGGCAGCAGGATTAGGAACAAGATCACTTTCAGGTTGAATATGGCCCGGGTGGTCTCATCATTGCGTTGCGCCCGTGCGGCTGCCTGAGCCGCTGTGGGCGTGGCCGAGGAGCCGGGCACTGTCACCGTCACCGATCCCGCCGGTGCCGTTGTGGTGGATCGCGTTATGGTCGTAGTGGTTGCCGTTTCCACCATTTCTGCCACTCACTCACTCACACAGAAAACAAGGGGCAATAAGGTAGATTTTCTTAGCCCAGAAAATTTCGCGGTCAAAACGAATATGGCACAACTTTACACAACTGCAACGCGACGCTGATCAGGCAACAGAGACCAAGCACGAAACCTCGACGATACCGCCAACGCCAATGCCAACAACCGAATGCGAATGCCAAACTACGTGTACAAGCTTTCGACTCTTCCCCATCGACTGAGTGGAGATCGCCGGGTGCTCGTCGTTATCTGGTTTCTGAATCTACGACTGCAGATCCGAGTGGGCAGCACAGCGCCACGGGCCTCTTTGAGTGGATTCGAACGAGTGGAGTTGCAGGCGCGGTTTCACCTGACGTCTCGTCTTGGCCTGGCTTTCTGCTTTTTTTGTTTGGCTTTATTGTTTTCCCCACGCGTGCACAGTGGGCACTGCGGACGACGGAAGATGGGTGCCGATAAGAGCTCTCCGGTGTTTGCTTTCCCTTTATCTGGCCCCCATAAAGATAAAGGTATGAAGTTTCTGGAAACTGGATCTGGGATCTGTTTGTTGAAGGTCCCCATTGTGAGTAATTCATGAATTTTTGCTACTGTCACCCACTGGGAAATGTCAACCTTTTGCCACCACTCAATTAACGAAAAACTCAAATATTTAATTGGGATTTTTTGGGTGACTGCATTGGATATATTATATAAATTTTCTAAAGCTTTACTTTAATAATAAACTCAATAAAACCAGGTATTAAGAACCTTCTTTTAGCACCACAGGGTTCTTATTTTCATCAAATTATTTAATTTTTAAATTTGCTGCCAATTAAGTTCCCCAATATCTTATCTTATATTTTTTCTCTGTGCATCTGAGAAGCGCACCTCAAGTAAGCTCTACTCAATTCCAAACCGCTTTGCTTGGCACTCGCCGAACGAGAATTGAGTGAGTTGCTCGAACGCTTCTCTCTCTCTTGGCTTCGACCCATTTTCGCGTTGCCAAACTGGTAAGGTGAAAAAGGAAAGGCCTCAAATGGAAGCCGATACATCCGCTTTGGCTGGCTGCATTATTATGGCCACGGCAGTTCCCATTCCGTTACAATTAAGGCATGGGCGCATATTAAACGCCCCGGCCTAGGTCAATGAACAGCACTCGGTGTGCTAGAGTAAACACTAGTGCAACACTCTAGCATTTAGCTGTGGATGCCGCATGTGGCAAAAGCTAAAGTAGTCAGTCGCCTGCAGCTGCGGCGCAGTGTCAACATCTGGTTTTTCTTTATTTTTCGCACATCTCTGCACATGTGCAACGCTGGCGAACGCATGCGCCCTGCTTGAGGTTGTTTTTTTAAGCATAGAACTAAAACCAGAGACGCACAGATACCGGGTATAAATAAAATATGTAAATGCAGCACAGCGATTTTGACATATTTGCAGACTAGCTGAGATGGATCCCGAGAGCATTGACCGCGCACACAAGCCACCACACATGTCACATCGTTGGGCCATAGCATGCGCTCTGCCCGAGTACAGTAGGATCTGGGCATTGGCGTACAACAAGCAGATATCCTTGAAAAACAAGGAAAGAGCTAATCTGTTAGACATTACTTTTACTTTTTGGTAACTCTATCAAATTGTAGGTAACAGGTGTATAATAATATCAAAAATATAAAACTTTCCTATCCTGGCTTTCGTACAAGCCAATTAAGTATCACTTGGAAACACCTAACAATTAAAAATTAATACGAACTTAAGAAATTGTAAATTTTCCATTCGTGTCCATCGTGGCCCACGACAGTTTAAAGGTGTCTCTTGGAAATCACTTGGTTCTTATGGTTGCTTTCTGAAGTAGTTAAAAATGGCTCTAGCCAAAATTCCAGTCATGGAAGGTCACAGGCACGTTCTGTAAATAAAGAAAATTTATTATGAATTTGCTAGAGGATCAACCGGTCGTATGCTTACTCTTCAAGTTGACCAACTTGTGAGCGTGGTGTCGAAGATTCGCCTGGTTTGGATTTTGGAGCACTCCAGCAGCGGCCTCCTTAATCATACCATCTATGCTCTGGAGAAGCCAATCCTTTTTCGGGCAGGTAATGGACAAACGATACTCGCCATCCGATGTACGCGACACCTGCCAATCGGAGACGGGCATCTCGTCGTCGTGGCTTTCATTGCTTTCAGTCTCCTCCTTTACATTACGCCGATAAGAAGGGGTGCGTTTACGAGATTTTGGCGGCTTTACGTCCGGCTCCTCCTCCTCATCGGAGCAGGCCGGTTCGGATTTGCGCTTCTTTCCAATAATTTGTCGCTCGTCTTGGTTGCGGTCTCGTTTCGGGCACGTGCAGATTTTAACATTTAAAACCTGCTGTCCCACAATATCCCCACTGCAATGAAAATTAATATAAAGTCTTGATTTCTACAAAAAAAACTTAATCGAAAAACCTACATACCTAGCGTTCTCCAGACAAAACACCAAGCATGTTTCCTTTCGGCCAAAACACGAATTTTGGCAGACAAACTTGAAGGCCAGCGTCTGACGAACGTATCCGGGACTGCGGCTGCCAGAACGGCACATATTTAGAGGAATCAGAACAGAGTAGCGCTCAGAAATGCCCTTTCCCTGGGCAGATCCACAATAGACGGTGTTGGGATTCTCACAGCGTAGCAAGCTTTCGCGCACTTTTATGTTCTGGATGGTCGCTGCAAGATAGGATTGACATATTAAATGGAGAACTTCTTGTCTTCCAACAAAGATTAAGCTTACTTGACTCTACACTTAGGTGATTCTGACATCGCAGCACCGGACCGCTTACATCCTTGACAAAACAGAGGAAGACCCGGAGATTAAGCGGTTGAATAGGCATCTTCGCCTTGAACTGAACGTCCACGTTAAAGGTCTTGTTCATCCGGATGTAGAGTTTGTTTAAAGCCACCGAGAACATCCAGTGAGATTTTGGTGGTTCATCCAGTACCATGCTGAAGTTGTAGCCGCCAAGGTTGTGGTTCTCCAGCTTGGGCAATGTATTCACCTGAGACTGCAGATCCTGCAGCATCATCTCACGCAGCACGGATTGCTGAAAAAAAAGAGGGAATTGATATTAGTACGTAAATATCACTAGTTCCGATGCCGAGTTTCCCACTTTGCGCTCATAAAGCTGATAGAGCTTCATGTCGTGTCTTGTTCGCTATTGACTGAATGGACGGTTTTCCCCTATACTTTTGTTTAAGTCTTTCACAAGTGATTGCAATTTTGGGCTGATTTTAGCGACACAAGGGAACGTTCCTTGGCCTCCTCCTAATCAGCGAGATAAGTACGCTCTGCTTAACTCTCGCGCTCAAACTGAACCCCTGTGTGACTGTGACGTCATGTAGCTCTTATGAAATTGCAGCAGACCGGCCATCCAAAGTGGTTGAGTCATAAGGGGAATGTCACTGCCGCTCTCGTTGTTGCTTCCAACTCTCCCCGATTTTCACTATCGTTGGCCAACGCAAAGCATTCTCAGTTGGTTTTTGGCCGGCTAGCGAGTAGCATGCATTCCGCGATGTGTCCAGATAGTGTCCGGCACTTTGACAAGTCCTTTCGATACCATCAGTTGGTTAAAGGAAAAACAATTAAGCTGGCTGTAATTGATACTCCGTGAAAGCAGTGGTCTTCCAGTCGTTATCCATTGTTCGGCCAAGATGAACCTCACCAGCGATAGAACACACCGGAGCATGGTGAAAATGCTGACGATTACACTGGTGGCCTTCATGACACTCTTTGGACTCCTGGCCAATAGCTATCACCCCCGGAGCCGTGAAAGATTTAGGTTTAACAAGTTCTACTTGGCATACGCAATGCTGTGGACCATTGGATTCAGCACTGTCTACGGTCGGCAGATCTACAAAGAGTACAGTCAAGGACAGATCAACCTGAAGGATGCCATTACACTCTACAGCTACATGAACATCACTGTGGCCGTTATAAACTACGTTACACAAATGATGATAAGTCACCACGTGGCCAAGATGATGAGTCGGGTGCCCTTCTTTCAGACCCTCAAAACCCTACGCCTCGACAGCCGGTCCTTGTATACATCGATTTCCCTGGCCATGATCAAAACCATTGGCTTTCCACTAATCCTGGAGGTGGCCTTCATCCTACAGCAGAGACGAACACACCCAGAGATAAGTTTGATCTGGACCCTCTACAGACTGTTTCCTTTGGTCATTTCAAATCTGCTAAACAACTGCTACTACGGAGCCATGGTCGTGGTGAAGGAGATGCTGAAGGCGCTGAACCGGCAACTGGAAGCGCAGCAGCAGGAAGTGAATCTGCTGCAGAGGGAGGATCAACGGAAGATGACTACAACTTACTACCGCATGCACCGCTTCTGCTCGCTGGCAGACGAACTGGACAAGCTGGCGGGCCGCTACAAGGTGATATATTTCCATGCCGAAAAGTACTTGACCCCCATGTCTCTCTCCATGATCTTGTCGCTCATCTGCCACCTGCTCGGCATAACAGTTGGCTTTTACAGTATTTACTACTCAATAGCAGATGCCTTGATCGCCGGCAAGGCTTTCGACGGCCTAGGAGCGCTCATCAGCTCAGTGTTCCTGACAATCTCGCTGTCGGAAATCACCATGCTTACGCACTTGTGCAACAATCTGTTGGTGGCCACCAAGCGTTCAGTGCTCATCCTCCAAGAGATGAACCTTAAGCATGCGGACTGTCGCTACCGGCAGTCTGTTCATGCCTTCACCCTCTTGGTGACTGTCACCAAGTACAAGATCAAGCCACTCGGCCTATACGAGCTCGATATGCAGCTGATTAGCAACGTTTTCTCGGCAGTAGCCAGCTTCCTGATCGTCCTGGTGCAGGCAGATCTGTCGCAGCGATTCAGGATGCACTAATTCCTTTTTTACTCACCTGGCTGAACTGCATCAGATTTCCAGACTGCAAGAAAGAAAATTCAAGTTAGTAAGAATATTTATGGTCGATTAAGGATCTGCTTACATTAAGTCCTTGCAGGAAGGCCATCGGTTCTGCGTTTCTATTAATGAAAAGGACTAGTTAGAAAAAGTAAGAACCAGCTTTGCCCAGCTACTCACAAGTCACCCGCTCCGTCCACCACCTGTTCGATGCTCAGCGAATCCGCGACCTCCGGCCTTGACTCGACGGAATCCAAGGAGGCTTCATTTGTGACGGTCGCCTGCATGTCTCCGTCCGAATCAGTGCTGAAGCAGAGAAATTAAAAATAAATGTTAAAAATAATCAAGCACCAAAGACTGCGATTTAGATAATCAAACAAACGCAATCATGTGTGCTGCGTGCGTGAACAGTGCAAGTACAAGCGTGTTGCTACATGCACAGTTCCACATCAACATGTAGCGGAATTACCTGACTTTGTGCCACGACATCGCTTGTGATATGTACATTCCGGAAGACAAATCTGCGACAAGTGGATCGCAGAATAAATAAAAGTAGAGCGCAGGATAATGTTTATAATCCCGCGTTCTTTTTTGTTACAAACAACCAGCAGCGTTGGTATTTTAGCTATTTCCCCGCTATATCTGGCGGCTAGCGGCTATTTTACTAAAAATTAGCGTTATTTTAGCTTTTAAAAAGCATCTAGGGGACTCAAAGACCAAATTACGGAAATGCCAGTGTGGCTTTCTTTTTTTTATTAAGTTGCACAGCGACACATCTGAGCTAGAGGTGGAGAACTATCGATAGTCGTCGCCATCGATAGTGAGCGATTATTTTTCTCAAACCATCGATAGTGTCGATAGTACTATCGGTAGTGTTATGCTTTTTAATTTTTAGATGTAAAAAAAGCTATAAAATGAAATTCGAACAAAACTTTATTATATTTTTAGCTCTTTAAAAATAAAAAATTAATTAATTAATTTATTTTTTTGATTAGGGATTGTATAAAAAGTACATCGTCGAACTGTGTATTCGAGCGGAAAAGAAGTACAAAACTAATTCTTTTTTAAACAGAGCATTAGGAGATTTTTACTTTCAGCTATACTTTAGCTTTTCACTATATTTTGGCGTTCCACTTTCAACTTTATTTTTTCTTTGTGATGTGATAAGCCGCGTGCAAAACTATCGATAGTGCAGGGCTGCCATCGATGGCGGTGCGATAGCGCCAAACCATCGATAGTGTCGATAGTGCCATCGATAGCTCTCCACCTCTAATCTGAGCGCCAACTTTGAAATTTGTGCTTAAGCTTTTATAAATATTGAAATCTCTTTAGAGGTTTGACGAATGCGTGCCCAAGGAATGCAAACGGTTTAATCACATATCCTGTCCAGGGGTTGTTTACTCTTCCGTAAGAATGGCGACTCCTTAAATTATAAATTTCTTGGAATTAAAAAAATTATAGATTCTCAAATTTCTCCCGAAGCGTTTAAAGTAAAAGCCATCAAGTTATATAAAGCTTACAACGTACAAATATATTTACAACTCTAAAATATACAGAAACGTGCTACTGGCACAAAAGTCTTATAAAGCACACACAGATTAAAGCTCTAATATTTTCCATTCGTCACATCGTCGTTCGACGACTCATCTTTTCCTTGATTCTGGGCCGCCTCTGTCACAATGGTAAGGTCAGAGCTCGATTGCTCTTTCGCATGTCTGTGGAGAAAATGAACAGCACAAGGATGAGAAATTGTACAGTGAAGATGTTTCTTACTAAATACTTATTAAATTATTTGGTATTTTATTTTATATTTGAAATTTAGAATATTATAAAATGTTACCTGTAAAACACATAGTGCTGCAGCATAAAGAATATATCGAAGAGCACCGAGAAAAGACCCAGTCCAAATTTGGTGGGATCCCCGAATATGGACGCCCAGTCATCTGGATATAAATCACAATTTAACCATATATCTTGAATAATCAAGTATTTCCATGCCTACCATAGTTGTGGCCATTCAGGATCATCTGTAGCATACTCAACGTGCCGCCTGTGAAGTCCAGCAGGATGTTGCCAATGCTCCAACCGACGGTGCTCTTCCTGCGGTAGTTCATCAGTGCCTGTGGGACATACTTGATGATGGTGATCGTCAGCTTCACGTAGCTGCAGTAGTAAAGGAAGTCCAGCCAGTGGATGACGGCACCTCCAGCCAAGCCGGCGGACACTATCACGACCACTGCAAAGATTCCCAGGATTCCGTAGGCCACAAATGACACCTTCTGCTGGCCCCTCTACAAAAAAATAAGAAAAAATTAAATGGTTTATCACTTTAGAACACAATATCTAAAAGCGAACAAATTGGTTCTTATCTTACTTTTACTTTAAGGAAATATCCGCAGTGATTAATGTTTAATTGTTATTGTTGATTGGTGCCTATTAATGTTTGTACTTTAATTACCTTTATCGTTAGTTGTCTAATAGTGATTAATGATGTTTCAAAATGGATCAACTTCATTCTACTTTAATAAATTGATTTAAGTATATTTACCTCGTAAATAAAGCACTGAATTATCGTAATGCTGGTGGCGAACATGGCATGCAGCGAGAAGAACACATCATTTAGCATCACCGGATTCAGACCATGTGGATGTCGTGCCTCGTACTCGTCCTGCAGACTCTCGATAAAGTAGAGACCACAGTTGAACAAGCTATACAGGGTGAAGCCCACAATGTTCAGGGTGAGGAAATCAAAGTTGAGCCCCTCCACTGACTTCCGGCGGTAGTTAACCCAAATCTGCGGATAGAAGGAGACAGACCAAGCCACAAAGTACACCCATCCGAAAACGATTGAGGTGTAGATGAGTCCCCGCGACTTGGCCACTGTCACTCGTACAAAAACGTCTTCTAGACTATATTTAGTGAATGAGAAGAATTTAATTAAATAGTAAATAAATAAGTAGCCTTCAGTAATCTCTGACTCACTCACATTTGCGCATTTTCAGCATTGGCTTCAGCAGTAACTTGAGCGAAGCCTGCGTTCTGGCCTGTTATCACAACGGTCTGGTTTTGGGTGCTGCCGGCCGGGTACCAGAATGTGGTAGGATCCAAACCCAAGTGGTTATCAGAGTCCGTCTTCAGATTTACCTGTACATCATTGTCCAACAGTTGGCTATAATTATAGATTCCATGTTACTGCAGTTCTTTATTTCATGTTTTTGTTGCAACTCACTTGGCAAAGACCACAAACGTCTCGTTTGAGTGCAGAAGAACGGTGATGTCATGTGAGTCGACGGTCAGTCGACTGGTTGTCTGAGCATTTCCCAGGGAAACTGTTGGAACAGAAGATAAGAATTTCCCCCGTTAACAATACCCTTATAAGGTTAGTTTAGCGATCACCTTACCTGTGGCCAGGAGCAGCAGTGCCAGGCGTAGAGAGCTCAGAAGTCGATGCATTCTCGTTTGAGTTTGATTATTCTTCATTCATGCGTGAGTCTTCGTCTCCAGACTTGATTGCATTTTCTTCAATGGAGCTCTGTAAATTGTATAGGGAATAAGGTCAATTGGCGACAATTAAAGGGGAATCGATTCCAGGGAATCTTGAAAACTCCTCCAGGCGACTCCTCCTCTGGCTCGATCGCCAAGGCAATTTAACTTGATCACTTATTGACTCCCAATGGCTCTTATTCATGAATCACAGTTAAAGAAATTGATCTTTTGGCTTTTGTATACATATTGTCACGAATAATGCCTTACAGAAAAAGAAAATTGTATATATATTTTAACCAAAAAGGATCAAACAAAAACAAGAAACCGGTTTTCATCGATAAGAGCTAGGTTCTTAAAGTAAAATAAATTCACTATTCTGAGCATCTGATATCAGGTTGAAAATATGTGCTATTTTTACCAAAAAGGCTGAACCACATTTATCAAAACTCTCGATCTGCGTGTATATCGTTTCCCCTAGAATTTTTGCGTCGAGATAAAAACGTTGAGTGAGCAACAGGTAGAGGCAGCCAGGCAACCTTCAATGCTCAATGTTACAACTTTGCAATTAGAGCAAAACTTTGGCACGGCACACGATTCGATCGAGCACTCACTTCACTTTATATGAGCCAAAGCAGGAAACACAGGGCTTTGTCGGTCAGTCGTAAAGGCAAAGATTCCAGACTATTTATATTGCGAGATCTTTATGGTCAGGGCCGTGACTGGGCATTTGTATAGAAGTGTAAATACCGCGTGAGAACGGGCTGGGCTTATCTTAATCAATGAACCTCCAGATAGTGTCAATCGCTTTATTCGAATTATTGCGCTGACGCTAAAATTGCGGCAGTGTGCCGGAATCTACAGATAGCCCATAGATTGGCCAATGCACTGCGATCGGACAGAGATAAGCTGGGCCGGGATCAGTCTGTCAAAATACCTATGACAAATCATGATCAGAGGCGAACTTAGATGACATATATAAAGTATTTTGATTAATTTTTATAGCTATTGTAGTGTATAAAAAACTACATTCTAAAATTAATATTTTCATAAACTTTATACGACTTTAACTCGATACCTAAGAAGTTGGTAAAGTTTTAAATATAAGAAAGCCAAAAGTTTGAAATTGGATCAGGAGGTCGTTTTTTAAATCGTTCATAACTAACCAAAAAATGCATTAAATTCAATTCGGAAAGCTTCCCTGTGTTGGATTTTATTAGGTTAACAAATCTGCATATTCAATTTAAAATTTAACAAAATTTAAAGTTTTGCCAATTTTTCAAAATTTTAACGATGGTAACCCCTTATAAAATTTTGAAATTCTCGAAAATTTTGAAAAAATTAAATTTCTGCCGGTCATAGCTAGATCGTTTCAGCTGTTTATCCTGATCAAGAATACATATGATTTATAGGGTCGGAAATGACTCCTTCACTACGTTTCAAGCTTTTGATTAAAATTATGAGGGTATAACATAATAAGGACAGTATTAAGAACATATTTCAAATTATGATCTTGACATAAGGATTATGCGTGAACGAACCAAACACCTAAGAATTTATTTTTCGTAAGAAATATAATCATTTGTAATGCATCGCTGGGAAAACCAATTGCTTGAATGACATCCATCTATACATTATTCAACACACGAGATGCGACACTGAAATGCGTCTCTTACAGCCGGATTAGAACTTTCACTGGCGATTGACTGAGAAAGCACTGCGGAGTTTGAGATTTTTTGCTCTGACGTCGTTTTGATTAAGATTCCCGGACTGGTAACGTTTTAATAAATATTAATGTGCTTAGAACACAGACTGTTTGTGCAGAGATAATTTGTGTACATACGATGGGGAGTACTCCCAGCACTCACTCCGTCACTCACCGACGTTAAAACTAAAGTTAAACAATGCTTATTTAACTGGTAATTAAACTGGTAGGCAGGTAGCGGCGCGATCCGCTGACGGCTCTCCAGAGACTGAGCGCAGCGCTGATGAATGGAGCCGTATAAGTAGAAATATTGGAGCCGTGCAGTCGCTGCCTCAGTCGACGCAGGCAGCAGAGACAGCCAATAACAACAACAAAAATCAACAGGCAACCGGCGAGCGGTCTTTAAACTTTTTTTGTTAACTTTATTATACTTTATATTTTGCACTTGAGAAGGAACCCCTCATCACTTGAAAGGGTACTTCATTTTCTATAAACAGCAGGGAATCGAGCAAATATTTGGACAACACATTTTAAAGCTGGTTTCCAAACTTCAAAATATTCTCTTGAGACACTTTAAGAAATTAAAAAAAAGGTTTACAACTGTCAGCAACAGTTGGTGCTCAATAAATGTAACTTTACAGACTTGATTAGTTTTCTACAAGTGCACTAAAAATAAACTCTAGCCGACTATTTGAGATCAATCCCATTCTTCCAACTGATTGGATAATCCAACCTAAAAGCATATTTAAACAAACTTTTTAAAGAATACACATTTTTCAAGTTCATTAATCTCAAATTTGTAGGGTATTTGTTATAAAGTGCTACCTCTGAAACTTCTTATCAGCAGTATAAACATTTTGAGGGTCTTGCAGAAACAGGCATTTGATAAGGTCCATGACGAAGAATTATCAAGCTCGACTAAATGTTATACGAGCCTCCCCCATTGCCGACTAAAAATAAGCTTAAACTAATCAACAACAACTATACACACATGCGGTTCACTTTCTATTGTAAATTTGTTCCACTTGTGCCCAATGCATATACTTTGCAAGCAAATCGAAAATTTGGCACGGAAATTGGAAATTTGCCAAGCCAAGCAAAACTTGGCCAGCAATATGAGGCCCTTATCGACGCTTCAGCTCTCGGTCTTCCAAGAGATCCCACACAGAGAATTGGAATACCCCAACGAACTGGGGGTTCATGTTTCAGGCTGATTACATACCAAACTGCAGTCGGGGTAAGTTGAGCTGTAAACCAGTTTAATTTGCACAAATAACAAACACTTGGCTCAATTTACGATAGTAAAAAGGGTAAATCGAACAATACACTTTCTTTGCTAAAACTAGGCAGGCACTCAGACTGTCATCTGGATTGGCTTGGCTCCCTCCGTTTATAGTCTTGTCTAAGGCACTGATTTCGTGATGAGTCGATGGTTAAATAAGTTAATGGTCGATTGCAGGACACTATATACTATATAGCTGCTGGCGAGTATGCGGTCTGATTCAGTCGTCACTTGGTCACTGGTTTTGATTCTGATTCTGGTTCTGGCCGGCGCGTCGGTTCTTTTCGAGTATCAAAGCGCGACTGAATGCGACAAGAGAGAACGTAAGTATATAAATAGGAGAAACCAATGATAGGCGTTCGCTCACCGATAGCGCTCATAGAATCCCACGATGGTGCCCAGCTCCTGCTTGAAGAGACGCACAAGCATGCTGTCAAAGCCCTCCAGTTCCGGCAAGCTGAACATGTTGAACTGCAACAGGTGGTCCTTTGAGGAGTCCGCCTCCGAGTACACGGCCAACCACTTGGGGATCTCCTCGAGTAGATACGGATTGGCGGGCACCAGAGCATTGTGCGTGTGAGCAGGAGGAGCGTACAAAGACGCCTCCGGTCGAATGGCCTTTGGCGGCTCCGCCGACGTGGTGTAGACGTAGTAGGACGTCAGGCAAGGGTGTTGCCGCTGACACTGCCCGGTATACTGATTCTCGTAGTAAGTGCCGTGCAGCTTGGACACTACCCGCCGCCAGCCGACTGGCAAGCCCTCGCGCTCAAGCGGATGGTTCCAGTGCGTAGTGTGCGCGTTGTGGTCAATGTAGTACTTCCTTCCATGCAGCGTATACTGCGTGGCCCATCCTGGCGGAAGGGGTAGCTCCTCGGGCTCCGTGAGCGACTGCTGCGAGGGCACCTTCTGCAGCGATCCATTGGCACTGCCACCAGTCCCGCCTGCTGCGCTAGGTGGTGTCCTGGGTGGAGCGTAGAGCGATTGCACTGAGGTAGAGGCGCCACGAATGCTGCCCGAGCTGCCACCACGACCGCTTCCGCTCAGAGATCCTCCACCGCCAGCTGTAGGCACCGCCAAGTGACCTTGGTGGTGCGGCTGTGGAACCACGGCCAGCGTGGCCGACGATGCCGTCGTGTTGCTATAGATCGGCGACTCCGAGCGCTGCGACTGGGTGGCGCGCATCGAGGAGACGCGGTACGGGTTTTCGTATATTGGATATGAGTCGCTTGAGTAGCTGCCGCTCAGGTGCGCCGCCAGTTGCTGGTGCTGGAGCTGCTGTTGTTGTTGCATCGGAGACCTGTGGAAACAGAAGGCGGATTTTCGTAAGAACGTATTTAAGTCGAATTATTACCTTATCCTTCTACTTAAGGTATAAAAGCGTTGTTCACCGACACCTGTATCGCAATAATGGTTATGAAAACTTAGCGATTTGTAAAACACTTTAAAGGCTTTAACTTAATTTGTGAAAGCAATTACCTCTCCGTTAAAGCTAAACAATTTCTCCTAAATTGCTTGATTTTTCTTTAAATTATGTATGTCTTACCTAGTAGACTGGTACCGCGGCTGTCGCTCCCTGATCGACATGGCAGCCGGATCGAAGCGCAGCGTGGACCCAAAGGGCGTCGAGGCGTGCTGTTGGTGGAGCTGCGGATGTTGCTGCTGCTGCGGCGGCGGGAGGGCGTAGTGGGCGGGCGAATGCGGACGCTGCGGCAACTGCAGCATGTTGGCATAGCTGGCGCTGAGCAGGCCCTGGTCAGCATCGTAGCTGGCGGCTGCCATGTGCGGATGCGGATGCTGCTGCCGTTGGGTGGTGGAGTAGCTGCGTTGGAACGCACCGCCGCCTGGGCCTACCGCAGAGGATGTGGTCTGAAGCAGCGGCGAGGACTGCTGGCGCCGCATCCGCTCGATCTGTTCGATGTTTACGTAGTTGCTGCTGCTGCTGCCCTGGCTCAACTGGTTGCTGCTTGCCCGAAACTGGTGCGGCGGCAACGGCGGATGCGTGTGCACATGCGGATGCTTGTGGGGCAGGGAGTGCGGGAGCTGGTGCGGGGTGTGCGGCTGCAGCGGTAGCTGGCTCTGGGCGCGCCTGGCATGGTAGTAATCCGGCTGCGAGTCCGTGCAGGAGTACGTGTTCCGACTGGTGCTCGAGCTGCGCGGATGAAACTCGCAGCTAGGCGAGGTGCTAGCACAGCGCTGGAGCGACTTTTTCTTGGCCCTCTGGTCGCTGGTCCACACATTGATCACCGGGATCTCTGGCGGAGTGTCCTTCTTCACGTACTTCCCCACCACGCCCTCCTTGTGTGCCTGGGACTTCTCCTTGCTCCGGCGCGAGAGCATCGTCGGTTTTCGGTTGCACAGCAGAATCGTTAAATAGTTCATGCAGACTCTGATCTCGGTTTGCCGTCTTTGTTTTAGACCATTGTTGGGCTAAAATTATGCTTTTGGCCAAGTTTTTGTTATTCTGCGAGCTAGTGTTAGTAAGCCCCACCTGATTTTATACTTTCTAACACTACTCCGAGGTCAGTGTGGCCAGGTTTCGCAGGGTGTAGCTAGACAACACTGCTCGCCAAGTAAGTAAATCTCTTTATTTTTTTATTTAAATGTCTTGTAATGATGCATAATTTGTTTATTATTAATAATTGATATAAATAACAACTCAAATGTTTACTCAAAGTTGAAAATTCGTTCATGTGACAACAGAGTGCCTCTCAAAATTTGTTGATGCCGGAATGACGAACAATAGCTTAGATTTCTCCTCAGCAGCGATGGAGGTCAAGGAAGTGGTCGTAATTGTAAAATGGAGCGGCAAGGAGTACCCGGTGGACCTCACCGACCAGGACACTGTGGAGGTGTTGCGCCATGAGATCTTCCGCAAGACCCAGGTGCGCCCGGAGCGCCAGAAGCTGCTTAATCTGAAATACAAAGGTAAGTCCTTGTCACGAGGATCCGTGAGATTTGGAGGACTGTACTGAAGCCCCGACATTGCAGGCAAGACAGCCCCCGACAATGTGAAGATCAGCGCCTTGGAGCTAAAGCCCAACTTCAAGCTGATGATGGTAGGGTCTACGGAGGCGGATATCGAGGATGTCCAGAGCCTGCCCGATGACATTGGCGAAGTGGTGGACGACTTCGACGACGCGGAAGAGCGCGAGGAGTCTGTGGAGAACTCCGCTGTGTATCTGGCCAAGGTTCAGCGTCGCGTGCGTGACTACAAGATCAAGGAGCTGGCTCCGCCGCGCGAAGGCAAAAAGCTGCTGGTCCTGGACATAGACTACACCTTGTTCGACCACCGGTCACCGGCAGAAACGGGCACCGAGCTAATGCGACCGTATCTGCACGAATTTTTGGCCTCTGCCTACGAGGACTACGACATCGTGATCTGGTCCGCCACCAGCATGCGCTGGATTGAGGAAAAAATGCGTCTCCTGGGTGTAACCACCAACGAGAACTACAAGGTGATGTTCTACCTCGACTCGAATGCCATGATCTCGGTGCACGTGCCGGAGCGCGGCGTGGTGGATGTCAAGCCGCTGGGCGTGATCTGGGCCCTGTATAAGCAGTATAGCTCCAGCAATACCATCATGTTCGACGACATTCGACGTAACTTTTTAATGAACCCCAAGTCCGGCCTGAAGATCCGTCCCTTCCGACAGGCGCACCTCAACCGAGGCACGGACCAAGAGCTGCTCAAGCTGTCCGACTACTTGCGAAAGATTGCCCACAACTGCCAGGACTTCAACTCATTGAACCACCGTAAGTGGGAGCACTACCATCCCAAGAAGAACTCCTGAACTTCCGCGGGAGATTTTCTCATTTCGATTGCACTCGTTTGTAAGATTCGCTTAGGTTTATTAAATTAAGATGCATTTTGTACGCAATGTGTCCCAGCCTAACATTAGAGTGTGTATCCGCCCTGGTCGGCCCAGTGGACGCGCCTGGCCTCCAGGTACTCCTCGTGCAGGCGCCGTCGCTCGTCCTCGAGCTTAGCCAGTCGACGATAGCGCTGCAGCACCATGCCGCAGCCGAAGAGCAGGGCAACCTGGCAGATCAGCCAGAATATGAACAGGGCGATCAGAAGACTCTGGTTAATGCACACATTGTCCAGATGCAGTTGGTCGTCGATTCCTGCGATCAGCAGAACTCCTCGCTCGCCATACATGTAGCTGTTGGCGTTGCTCTGGTCCGGACCATGCACCCGGATATTGTAGTTGAGGGGAAGCTCCTCCTGGACACCAGTGCCATTGACTTTGCCAGGCGCCTGGGGTACCACGTCCATCACGGTGGAAATGTAGACAGGGTTCTGCACTCGCAGCTCCTCAGGACGTCGCTCTGACTGATTGGTGGTCACTTGTCGCCTTTTCCTCTGCCAGGATCCACTTGCACAGTTGCTGGGCGAGCACCGCTCCACGCAAAACCGAATCTTCACATCAAAACTGACATTGGATGTGCCGGAAAACTTGAACGCATGGAAGCGTGCACGCAGCATGCTCTTGGTAGCGGAGTGAACTCTTTCCAGAGCCGGAAACACGCTGGCATCCGTGGGACAACCACGTTCATCGATCAGCAGAACATAGTTTTCGTTATCTGCTGTCTTAGCCACCAATGAGGTAGCCCGGAAATCTGGCAATGGAGCTAGCTGAAGTTCCAGGTGTTCGGCCAGCTGGTCTTGGCTGTACTCCGCCACAATCTGGAGCTCCAGATTCTGGCCAATCTGCACGTCATTGGTCTCATGCTGATGGGACAAATCCACTATCTGAAGGGAGATGGTCGGCTGCGGATGGGGCCCAGAGCTGCTGTTGTAGAGTACCACACCTTCATGCGGGAACATGCTGCGCAGATTAAGAGGGAGGTTAATTTTTTTTTGTAGAGGTATTAGGAATATGCTCACTGTTCGGCGTACTCCAGCGAGGACTCCAAGGCAATGGCACTTGGTACGTGCTCCGTGGCATCCACGCTGCTGTCCCGCACCGAAACACCCAGCGAGGTGGTGGCGTTACTCTGGATGCAGCCAACCTTGATGAGCCGGTCACCCTGGGTTTGCACATTTGGATTGTTCTGAATGACCACAAGGGCCGATATGAAAGTTCTATAAAAAGTTTTACAGGGGTTTTTATGAAATATGATTGAGAAAAGAGCAAATAAGTCCCTCTATAATTTATAATAATATCCAATTCCCACCTTTGGTATGCCTGCGTCATTTCATAGGCCCGCAGGATGCCGCAGCGGTTCTCTTTGACTTCGCTGCCGATCTGCAGTGACAGAAGGACACTTCCGTTTCCGGAACCCCGTGCCAGACAGTCCTTTGAGTGCATGCTGGCATACATTTTGCCGACGAACCAGTCCTTGGGGTTGTATTTTATGGACATCTCCTCGCGCGTACAGAAGACCCGGACTACAGGACAATAAAAAATTAAAAGAATTTTAATTTTAAAAGAAGATTAGATTAGATTCTTTTAATTTTTTATTAGAAAGAATACCCACCATCGAGGCACTTGACCCGCCGCATGTAGACAGAGTTATCTCGGAGTTTGAGGCTTCGCGGACCCAGCGAGACGATGTCCTCGGAGTGCAGGAGACACTCGGATAGGGACAACTGATTGACATAGTAGAAGGAGACTCCCTGGCAGTAGAACTTGGCCTCGTGCGTACACAGCGCCTGACACTGCAATACGAAGGGTCATCAATCAATCATCCGACTCCATCGATTGCGATTACAATCATAACCCGCGACAACCCAAGCGCGGCGGACACACCTCTTTCTGGGTGAGGCCCAAATACCTGGCCTCCGCGTAGATGAAGCTGCTATTGGCATAAAGCTCATACGAGCAGCTGTCGCTCTCCGCCGGCCGTTCATGGCACTGGTTCTCCATGTACTCCTCGTCGTATGGTGCGGCCCGGAAAGCGTCCGGTTGGATCGTCTTGTCTCTGTCGCTCAACATGCACCTGCCCAGGCGGGGTGAGGGACTCTGGCCAGGACCATCCCCGCCGCGGAACCTGCAGATGAAAGAATGGACTTAAAGCGAATATACCTGACTGCCTAAAGGATGAATAATAACATGTTCCCTGGCAAAGATGGGAGGACTACACAACTGCTGGGGCTTACTATCTATAAAACCAATGAAAACACCTCTTATAAGATAGTTTTATTAAACAAATGTAAAATATTATAATTCTTACGATCACCGGTAATTCCGTATTATTATCGATTGCATTTACCTGTTTGTTCTACTCAGAATTTACCACTGAACCTGAACAAAGTTAACCATTTAAGCGTACTACAAATAAACAAATTCCTAACCTATCCCATCAGTGGCTCAGGGAGTGATGTCATAACCCGGTGGAAAGCCTCGTCTGTGCATTAAAAATGCACGACAAAAGCAATTAATATGTCCGGCAACAACAACGACAACAAAGAGCTAATATGTCCGACAACCAAAACAGTCAATTACCGCTCACGATTGTTCCGATACGAGGGCGCAAAGGAGGCGGAGAGGCATCTGAATTGGCTTTCGAAGAAGCAACGCTCGGCGCACTCACGCCGCGTGACCAGCGTCGGAATGGTCTTCTTGCTCTGGAACACCAGCGTGCTGCCGGGGATTTTGGTCAGCGCCCATAGACGACCTTTGCACGCATCGGGAACTGCAAGAAATATGTAATGTATATATGAGTTGGAGGCGGGACAAGGTCGTATCCGCCCCATCCGGCGGTCGGCATACTCACCGCGGAGGCAGGTCTTTTCGTAGAACACGGCCTCGGTGTCGGCCACCAGGGGCAGTTCACCTGAAATGGACAGGTAACGCGAGGTGCGTTCGAAGTACGAGTAGCCGTGACACTCGTCTGTGTCCAAGAGATGAACGTAGGCTATGCAGTCCGGATCCTCGTTGCAGATCCTCCAGCAGATTTGGCTAACCGGGAGATCCTGCTCCTGGCCATGAGCCTTAAAGTTTCTTCCCGATTGAGGGACATAGATAAGATTGTCCTCATTCAGATACTCTAGGGGCGGTCGGAATCCAACGATTTTCTGTAATTGCAACTGATGCAACGGACACTGGAGGAGCAGGGCTACTGGAGGGGAAAATGGTTATTGGAATGTCATAAATGCGGCTCTATGGGACTCGCATGACTGGAAACCAAAACATTTTTTAAATTGCTTAGTCGCCATAATAGGGATCGAATATCTATTTCAATACTTTAAGGGGAAGACGGTTAGCTAGGCTTGTACACATTGTTGTGACTGGGCATCAATTAATATGAAATGTTTACGCATTACTAAGCAATCTGTAAATCAGTCAAGCATCTTTCAGCTAAAGCTTTTGGTATTAGCTAAAAAGTAATGATTTAATGCATAAGCTAAATACCATACCTAATCTCTTTGTTTCGACATAGAATAGTGAAACATAAGCAAATATCATATTTCAATAGATAATATAGGTATATATTTTAAAGTATATTTTAAACCTTATTTTCAGAGATTTAAAATCTAGAAAGATCTATTTTTTAAAAAAGTAATAATTCAAGATGCTTGCTTAAAGATTTTAAAGCACAGACACTTATATTATTATAGAATTTCGATTTCAGTTCTAAGAAAATCGGAATACTAAATAATATAATCAGTAAAAGTATCTTTTAACAGTTACTATGAAGAGTAAGTACTATGATTAGTAATGAACTATGATCAGTAAGTATTTATGACAAGTAAGGAATTATGATCAATAAGTATGTATGACCAGTTACTAACTTTGAACACTAATAAACAATGACTTGCAACTTTTGTAACACAACACATTTCTGAAACTTGGCCGGCGGAAGTCACTTCCTTCCGGGGATGTTTGAACCAGTTGGGAATTATATGTCACATGTACGAGACTTGTTTTGGAACAAATTTAGGAGCAAGTTATTTGAACGAAACTATAGAGTTATTCTTCTATATAATTTTACTAATACATATATAAGTCGAAGCATGGCGAATCGGTGGACTATATATATACATATATATAGCTGCCATAGGAACAATCGGACGAATTTTAGAACTATGATTAGTAGTTAACTATGACCAGTAATTAACTATGAGTAGTAAGTAACTCTGAACAGTGAGTATCTATGATCAGTAAGTAACTAAGATCAGTATGTATCTATGACCAGTAAGTGTTTATGAACAGTAATTACCTATGAGCAGTAATTAACTCTTAACCCTAAGTATCTATGACTAGTAGGTAACTATGATCAGTAAGTATGTATGATCAGTTACTAACTTTGAACACTAATAAACAATGACTTGCAACTTTTGTAACACAACACATTTCTGAGACTTGGCTGGCAGCACTCACTTCGTTCCGGGGATGTTAAAACCAGTTGGGAATCATATGCACAGATGTGCCAGATTTGTTTTCGAACAAATTTAAGATCAAGCAATTTGAATGAACCTATAAAGTTGTTCTTCTATATAATTTTATTCGTATATAAATCGGAGCATGGTGAATCGGTGGACTAGATATATACATATATATAGCTGACATAGGAACAATCGGACGAATTTCCAGAACTATGATAAGTAATTAACAATGAACAGTAATAAACTATGAGTAGTAAGTAACTCTGAACAGAGAGTATCTATGATTATTAAGTAACTAAGATCAGTATGTATCTATGACCAGTAAGTATTTATGAACAGTAATTACCTATGAGCAGTAACTTACTCTGAACCCTAAGTATATATGACCAGTAAGTAACTATGATCAGTAAGTACCTGTAACCAGTAAGTATGTATGATCAGTTACTAACTTCAAAAACTAACAAACAATGACTTGCAACTTTTGTAACACAACACATTTCTGAGACTTGGCTGGCAGCACTCACTTCGTTCCGGGGATGTTAAAACCAGTTGGGAATCATATGATATGATGATTAACTATAAACAGTAAGTATCTATGACCAGTAAGTAACTCTGAACAGAAAGTAACTATGAGCAGTAAGTAACTCTGAACAGTAAGTATCTATGACCAGTAAATAACTCTGAACAGTAAGTATATATGACCAGTAAGTAACTAAGATCAGTAAGTATCTATAACAAGTAAGTATGTATAATCAGTTACTAACTTTGAACACTAATAAACAAAAACTTGCAACTTTTGTATCACAACACATATCTGAGACTTGGCCGGCAGAAGTCACTTCGTTCCGGGGAAGTTAGATCCAGTTGGGAATCATATGCCATATGTGCAAGACTTGTTTTGGACAAATTTACTAGCAAGCTATTTGAATGAAACTATGGAGTTATTCCTTTATGTAATTTTACTAGTATATAAGTCGAAGCATGGCAAATCGGTGGACTATATATATATATATATATATATATATATATACATATATATAGCTGCCATAGGAACAATCAGAAAAATTTTAAGAAACAAAATTTTAACTTTTCCAGTTTTCAACAGAATTTCATCAAATTTTATATATAGCCTTAATATATTAATCTATAATTGTTTCGGCGTGCCGAAGTTAGCTTCCTTTCTTATTTTTATTACTATTTTAGGAAATAAATAAATCACTAGAGACTCTAGAGTAACTAATTATTTTCAAAACCCTTGTCAAACTCATGTTACCCCTTAATTAATTGCAAATGTTTTTGCTCTCAGCCCAAGGCATTTCCTTGTCTGGGTCATTCGCGTATTCAAACCAATAAAAGCTCGTTTCTCAGGGTGTTTGCTAATAAATCTATAATAACAGCTGACATGCACATCTAGCTGGGGGTTTTTCCCTCCCCACCATAACAGCCCCTTGTAAATTGATCTATGCAGTTTTGGTTTTCGTTTTCCACTTTGCTATTGAATGCAAATTGCAAGTGCAAAAGTGATGCGATCGAAGGCATCTACACAGCACGCGGAATGTATGAAGCGGCTAAAAATAAAGCTTCAAAAACTTTAAAGCCGCTTTACTTGATTTTGGCCAATTAGCGAAGGGTACAACTGCAGTTAAGGTAATAGTATTGCAATATGGGAATAATGCAAAACTCTCTGGGGTTAGAAGTGTAAAACGTAGTGAAGGAGTCATTTCCGACCCTATAAATCATATATATTCTTTCTATCTCAGGCACCAAAAAAAAATTTTTAATATATATGAAATTTTTGCAAAAAAAGATAAGGGGTTACGTTACATGGTTAAAATTTTCAAAAATTTGAAAAAATATTGAATTTTCTAAAATGTTATGCTGAGTATGCAGATTTATTTACCTAACAAAAACTAACTTAGGAGCGATTTCTGAATTGAAATTAATGCATTTTTGGCTTAGTTAGTTATGATCGATTAAAAATTCGGTCAAGGAGTTACAAGGAAACAACTACCAACTTCCGCTCTCTTTCCTATTTAATTTTAAAATTTAAAATGGGGAATGTATGAATATTTAATGCACCCATATTCAGTGCTATTATCTTGACCAGATCTGTAGGGGATTTACTACTGATGGAGATGAGTCTGGGGACTGGACTCGAACTCACCGCAAACACTCTGCTGCAGCATTAACAAAATCGCTGCAATCGCTAATTTGCATAGCCACGGGGCCGCGGTTCTGGGACCTGATTGGGGCATTGTTTCAGATGCGTTGCTGTGGTGGTCACCGCCAATCGTTTGGCATGCTCGTCTAATAAATTGTAATTGATTTTCGGCTAGGGTCCCGTGTACTAGGCTCGCATTTCCCGTCACACTAACACACGGCACAGACACTATTTATTCACTGGCTTTTTGCCTGTTTGGCCAGGCTTGTTTGCGGGTTATGTTTGGCACAGTTTAACACTTTCGGCACGTGCACGGCCAGTTGGACACTCAATCGCCTGCGGATGTAACTATTTGCATATGCAAACAGCCTGGGACCGGGAGTAGGAGCCACTCCAAATCAGGAGCTCCTCATCAGCCAGACTCCGCCAGTATCCTCCGTATCCTGTCGCTGTTCACTTGCCATGAAATATAAATTAGTGCGATTCGCAGATGTGGGTCAGACAGGCCACTGGCAGTAGCAGCATCAGCATCGGCATCAGCAGCGTTGTGCTAATTACTTTCAAACACGTTCATACATTCCCATGCATTATTTATTCGATTTTAAAACATCGTATGGCTGCGGCTGCGGCTTTGGCTTTGACTCCTGCCACGGCCATTAGTCGATTGCACTTTGTTTTATGTGTTTAGTTATGTATGTATTTGTTTAATTAGCCCGGCGATCGCTTGCAGGCAGTACGTCTGACTCGCGCGACTCTCGACTTGCAAATAGCCAAGTGGAAACTCAGATCATGAGCTCTCGGCCGGGTCGAGAGATCCCTCACAGCGCCAGTTAGACTCCGGAGCGTTGCGTATGTAAATGATACCGATGAGTATGAGTGCCTCTGACGCACCAGCAGCTATGCATGGAGAGAAAATATGTGTATTTACGAGAGAGAAATGCAAAAAAGATCTCTTTAAAATGTATTGAATTGATGTAGGAGAAGATTTTTCTAATGTATTGTATCTTAGAAACCTTTTAAGAAGTTGCCAGTTTAATTTTTAATGAGTGGTTATGAGACTTCATTGTTTGCTATCATCTCATAACGCCATAACTAGTATAATTTATTACATTTCTAAATCTTCTTACTTTGAAGATCTTTTGAATTTCTCAAGTTTTCTCCCAGTGCAGTCCCGCGGAAAAATGCTCGATCGAGCGTCGACGTCGCGGCTAACCGAGCGTATGAGAAATTTCGTGTCGCCGAGATTGCTGATTAGATCGCTGGAGTGTGTCGCGCGCGGAGCAGCCACCGAATTGTTCGTTGGCTCAATTTCAATGTGCAATAAACAAAACTCTTTGGCGCTAGGCTGCCTCAAAAAGGGAGCAGGGGAAAAGGGCTAGGCAGGCCTGGGGCACGGTTTAGGTTGTATCAACAACTGTATCTGTATCTGTATCTGTCCAGGTTGTACAAGTATCCATCAAATACACAACGCATCCGCTGCCGTTACTCTTGTCTGTTTACACAGTTGCGCCCAGCATCGCCCAGGTTTGGATTCAATGGCACTTTTAACAGTTCAGTGGTTTTGGCGTTGACAACGTTTGTTTCCCTTTTGTTTACGACTGCCGCAGCCAGTTGCTTTCGAGTGATAAATGTCTCTGTTCTGGGCCCCCTTTCTTGGCCGATTGTTTATCGCTAATTAGTAGCAGGTAGCCTTTAATTACTGTGTCATCAAAGGGTCCCCCCTAGATACGCAGTGTGCGTTCGTATTTGGCACTGTGCGTGACCTTTGCGGTTAGCACACGGGGAAACCTATTGGCAAGTTGGCCAAGGTCGCTTCACTGCCTCCACGATTGGGTAGCCGTTGCCTCAGCGTCTTGGTTGAGCGGCGATATGACAGCCACATCGGTTGACATTAGGAGCCCTAGCGATTACCTAATTCAATGAGTACCCCATGACTTGAGGAAGGTTCAAGGGATAGAGAGTGGCTTTCCTCAATAAGTAGGTTATACATTCCTAACCTAAGTACTTTTCACCACATGGCAATATCTAGTACTACTTTACTTAATTAGTAAAAACGATAAGGCTTTACAGAGCACAATTTTACACAATACTTTCATAGAAAATTATACTTTTTCCTTTTCCAAGTTCATAAACTATTAAGACCTAGCATTTTTCTTGTACTACTCTATATCCCATAATCCCTTTATTGTAATAATTAAGGAAACATTTACTTTACAAACCATAAAAAACGAGAAACACTAGCCATTTCGTTTAATTTATTAACATCTGCAGCACGGATCCCTGTCCGACTTTCGTTTTCGTCGTGGACACACTGCGTATACGTAATAATTCATAGGCATTGCACACGACATGCAATAACTGCGCAATAATTGCCCGTTGCATGCAACTGCAGGCCACGCCCCTGCAGCATTGCCGCTCCTCCTCCTCCAGTTGGCCATGCAAAAACCCTGCCCTGCAGTACCACAATACAAAACAAAAAAAAAGGTTCTTAAATAATGTGAAACATTCAGTGGCGTGACACGGCAATCGGCAGCAGCAGGACGAGGTGGCATGAGCTTAAATTCTTAACAAAAGACTGCCACAACAACAACAACAAAAGGGCTGTAAGTTTATTTCCCGCCCTTTCCACCAAACTTTTCCAGCACTCACCTTGAACTATAAAGCGGCATCCGACTGCGTGGGCATGCGAGGTGGCGAGTTGGTGAGGGTGTCAAGTGCCGCCTGAATGACGCGTAAAAACACAAGTTGCCAACAGCAAGCGGCTAAATAATAACACACATATCGCAGCACGGGCCAGAGAGTTGGGCCTAATTAAAAATTCCAAAAAGTCAGGGGCGCCCCGGAAGCTAGAACATGTCTGGGATGACATGAAAGCTTCTGCGGCCTGGTTCAGAGCACTCGGTCTGTCAGTTGGACTCAAAATGTTGAATGTTGTCTACTCGCATGTGGTATGAAGCAGTCAGGCGTTGCATGTGCAACTTGTCGCATTGTCTGATTCAAAGAATTATGCAAATGAGCCGACGCACTCCCAAACAGGGTCTTGCTGATGTTGGCCAAATATTTAGCCAAAGCTAGCTGGCCAAAAATCATGGCTGTGCCACAAACACAAGTGCAGTGAATACAGAGAGGGAAATGGGAAAACATAGAAGCTTAAATTTAAAATAGTTCTTTTTAGTTATTGAATTGCTTACAGATATATCGAACTATATGCTTACTCACCTTTATCTATCCTTACTTTATATATCTTTTGAATTAAAAGAGGAACCTGCTTTGCAGTGTAGAACACTGTTGTGAGCTTTGAGTGACATATGAACCTACTGGACTTGGCTTAAAATGTGCAACTTTGGCAGGGCACACATGTATGTGTGTATTACCACCGCCCTCTTGGCAGGTGTCTGTGTGTTTTGTTGCTTAATTGTCGCCAGCAACTTCCGTTTTGAGAACGGCATGCCAAAGCTGCCGCCGGTTTTGTGCACCCTTGACATCGCCATATGGCTGGGAGTCCCCCTACTAACCAACTAGCGTGTGAACTCGTTGACTTGCCGTGCTCCATAACCACCCCCCATGGCACAGTCGAAAGCCATTTGCTAACTAAAATTTATTTAAATCTGTGCCATAATTGTTTTGGGGCGCCTGTTGCTGCTCGTCGCCCTCGTTGACTTGGTCTTGTTTTTCGCTTTTGCTTTGGCTTTTTTGCTGCTTGTGTGCGCATAAAATTAGCTCCGTAAATTTATTGTTAGTCATTCGCATTCTAGCATTCGGCCTTTTGTGCTGTTTGGAGTCCGCTAAAATGTCACAAGTTGCCACAATTTGTTAAATGATATTCGTTCTTGGACACGGGTGGATTTATTGCCGCAGTGGATCCTTTAGCTCTGAAAGTGATTGATTCAATGAGACTCAAGTCTTAAATTGCATTAAATAATATTTATTGATTTCATCTTCCGTACATAAACGAATTTTAGTTGGTAGAAACGAAAACCTGTGCTATCGAATCAAATGGTTCCTTGGAAATGTTCTCAAAATGCATTACGTATTACGTATCGTGTAGGGGGAAATGCTATGGTTAATTGTGGGAAATCGAGTGAAACAATGGAGGGTAATAAGGATTTAGCCAGAGTTTTGGTGCCAATAGGTCTGTTCTAATTGGATATACGATTTCTGCGGTGGCGACCCCTTCTGGCTCCCTAGAATTAATGCAATTTGCATAATAATACACAAGTACATAAATACATACATAAATACAATCGTAATCGTAGTACATAGTCAGTTATAGGGTTTACACATTCGTTTGCCTTCGATACTGGCTTTAAATGCAGACGAAAACAGATATTATCTCCACACTTCGATTGATCTCAAATGATTGTTGTTAATGTTCATTGTCGGTTATAAATTTTAGCTATAATTAAAAGGTTTATTTATACGCATTGGTTTTTGTTTACTACAATTGGCTATATAATTTCGTTTTGTTGTTTGCAAGCATTTTTTACGTTTATCCATTTCGCTCGTAAATATATATAGTATGTTAAAATTCCAATTGATGTTATTTTTACTCGCGACGGGGAAAAATATCAAAAGGGGGAATTAAAAAATGAGGGATGAGCTACGTTTTGTCGATCTGCTGCCGATGCTGCTGCTGCTGCCACTTAATTATGCCTCCTATATACTTACATGTTAAACATATTATATATTTATTTGTATATGCATGTATAAGCGAATTGCCATTTATCGAATCTCTAGCCGAGTAGAGTCCTTCCTTTACGTTACTTCACAAGGATGCGTCTTACGTCCGCCCAAAAGTGCTGATGATAATGCTGCTTAGTGTGTGTTGTGTGTGCCTGGTGTGTGGTGTGTGTGTGTTATCGCGAGGGTGAATTACGGACAATCGGTTTTACATAGAAGCAGGTGCAGGTGATGGCAAGGACTCAACTCCACTCCTTGCCTTCCAAAACACAAAAGCCTTGCCCCCGGATCTCTCTCACTAACATATGTCTGGCTGACTGACTGGCATGTGTCTGATACAAGTAAGTAACTCTAAATGAATGCGATTATGTTTCGTACATATGCAACAACTATGAGCTCAAACTACTCTCTTTGGCCGCACGTTCCTGTGAACTGAACTCCTCCAAGACCGATGTTGATCCTTCTGGTGCCGAAAGCCTGGAGTTGCTAGTTTCCATCATCGTCTTCGATCGCACTTTCATTTTTTTCAAAAAACTTATCACATAAATTTTTATATATTTTTTGTTTTGCTTTTTTTGGGCGGAATTCTTAGCGTGTGTCGTGTTTTGCTTGCGCGAAAGCAGGGTACAGAATGAGGGGCCGATAATCGTGAGCTAATTCTGCTGCAAAAGGCTAAAATAGACGGATGCGAATTGGGTGAGTGTGTGTGTGGATTACGGGCAATAGCCACCAGGAGCCACCCATCCGTCGGCCAACAGCGGTGATAACAAAGGAGATATCCCGGCTGACTGGGCTGTGCTGATTGACTGAACAAATTGCTTGAGCTGCGGATGGTTGGCTCCTTCAAAAGGATGTGTGTGTGTGTGTGTAGTGGTGTTGGCTCTCCTTTTAGTTTTAGTTTTACTTTGCTTTCTTTGTTTTTTTTTTTTCCTACTGTTGGCATCAGCGAAATGCCAATTTGCGTGCGCTGCGCCTTCAACTATGCTACAGTTTTTCTTTGGTTTTCCCTCTGCTGTTTTAGCTATCCTTTTCGCTAACATCCTTCGCGGCATGGGGTGAGGGGTGTATGGTGTGTAGAGTGAGTGATTTTGCTGCTTCTGCTGTTTGCTATACGTAGTTCTATTCAAAAACGCTTACTTGGCTACTGCACATTTATGTTTCGGTTTTTGGTTTTTGGGTTTTTTTTGGGTTTTCGCTGCTGCTGCTGCGTTTGCTTTTACTTCCACTTTCGGTTTGTTTGCAATCATAATAATAATAATATTAATTTTCCGTTACAACGTTAGCGCATCCGCCTCGATGGTGGCTCGCTGATTGGATGTGCCGGCTTCCCGGGGCCCGGGGCCATCCATCTCCGTAGCCCTGTCCCTCCGGTGTCCTTCGGTCGGGTCACTTAGAAGACCAGCATCTGATCGGCACTGCCCTCCGCGCTGTCCTCATCGTCGGCGCCCTCGTCCTCGTCGTCGGATGTGAGCGAGGCGGCGTTATTAACCACGGACTCTGTTTGGATTTGGATGAAATTAAAATTCGTTTCGTTACGTTTCGTTTGTACTATGAATTCATGGGTATTCTGCACTCCCCGGGACTATGCGCTAATCTGACCCATTCGCCGCATGCATGTCTAATGGCGGTCAGCCACAGAGCTGACCTCGTCCTCGTCCCCGTTCCCTATACACGTTCTTGTCCGTGTCCTTCGAACCCCGTTGAGAGTCCTCTCATGTGTTATGCATGGCGTATGTGCGATATTAATAGGAAAACTCAATTACTGATCCCTTGGTAATGCCCGGCCTGCCTGTCCCCAGTCCCCAAACCCCAAACCGACAACTTTAACAACCTTAAGTGCAGACTTAAATCCTGGACACAAACACAAGGACTGCAGATAAGAAGATTACGTATACGCAACGGAGTGCGAGGTGTTTTCCGATACCGATAGGCTGGACGGCACTGCGGCAACGCATAACTCAGCATTGGGCCATAAAAGCTGGCTTAAGGGCTGATATTTCAATACAGGTAAATGGCATGGCTCAAATGGCAAATCGTTGGTGCGTTGCCTGCCACAGTTCGATTGCCACGAAAATCGTTAAAGAAATACGAGAATATTGCGTATTTAAACCATATTAATTGGCGGCATCTACCAATGATTGTAAATATTCAACAGCAGAATTTTTTTTGTTATATTTGTGATTGTATATAAAAGTAACAAATACCACGCTGAATTCTTTAGTTAACAAAAAAAAGTAACCGTTTTTCAATTGAATCAAAAAAGGAGACATCATTTGGAAAGCTGAAACTGGCATACTCTTGGAGTTTCAATTGAATTTTATGATCGCATCGGAAATCTATCAAAACTAAGCTTAAAATATTCCAATTTTTTGAAATATTTATAAATATTTATATTTATATTATATTATATTATATATTTATATTTATATATATAAATATTTATCTTTATTTTATGTGTAAAGTTTTAGGGAAAATCAAAGTTAAAAACACTGATAACTAAGCCAAAAATGCCTTATGTTAGTTTTTGTTACGTTAATAATTCTACATATTTCATTTAAAATTTAAGAAAATTAAAATTTTTTACGATGTAACCCCTTATCAAAATTTTAAACATTTTGAAAAATGTGTCTTTTTCGGACACAGCTATATCGATGTCTCTATTGATGCTGATCAAGAATATATACTATTTATGGGGTCGGAAATGTGTTCTTCTCTAGCTATAATTAAAAAATTCTGCAATGATATAAAAATATTTCTCCTTATTTTTCCACAATTTCACTGCCTTTAAAATGTTGCTTTAAATACAACCAAATTGTCAGCATGAAAAAAGCATAGTTTTTATACAACTGAAGTGGTTTTTTCATTTGGCCAGCTATAAAATGTTTAACTAGCCTTTCTCAGGTGCATTATACAAACGTCAACTGGGCTTACAGGAGGCTTAAGTGTGGCAGGTGACCAAGCTCAACCCATTTTACCTGCTGCAGTCCTGCGGCCCTCCCCCATTACGGCATTTAGAAAAGTTTTGTGGGCCTTTTGTTGGATCCCCTCGCCAAATGTTTGGGTTAAGTGTTTATGCGATGCCCCCTTTCGGAGCACCTTTTGGGTGAACCCCACTTGGACCCGGCTCCTTCCCGGTCTCCCCCAGTTGGAACTGCTTCCCTGGACCAAGTACTCACCGCAGTTGGGCTTGCCGCGTGTGCGTGTGTTGGCGAACTCGACTCCGTGCTTGTCCACGCACCAGCAGACGCCCACCGAGCTGTGGCACTGGGTGGGCTTGTAGAATCCCTGGATGTCGCAGTCCGGTGCGTAGGCGCCTAATTGGTTTTCGTTTGTGGAGAGAAGAGACGGAGGCCAGTTAGTGGGGCAACTTACTTACGGATAAGGGGCACGGATGGGGGTCAGTGAGAAGCGGCACAAGCAAAAGTTGCTGCTGGATCTATTTTGTTTGTGGCAACAAAGGGGACAGCAGCGGCGGCAGAAGGGGAATTATATTGTAGGTAAGGTAAAGGGGATGGGGTAAAAGGCAAAAAACACAAAAAGCATCGGACAGTGGCGGTTTCTACAGCGGGTAATGGGGTTTCAAGGGGGGTTTTTTTGGGAAAAGTTCTGTGTTGTTGTTAGAAGTGTTTAATTTGCTGGCTTAAAAGTTGCGTTTGGCTAAGAGATGTTGGAAAAAAACAAAAAAAAAATACGGGGAGCGAGCACAAAACGAAAGTTAACAACGAAAGCAGCGCGAAAAAAGGTTACTTCTGTTAACTGCTGGTATTTGTGTGTGTGTGTTTATATTTGTGTGAATGAGAGTGTGTGTGGGACAGTGCTGCCAAACTTTCGATTTCGAAAAACAATACAATAAAGAATAAAAGGATTCAAATAAGAAAAAAAGGAAACAAGTAAAAAGGATACAAAACACGACATGACACAGATTGATTCTTTACAAATTAAATTTAAAACAATTTCAATCATAAATATAGCATTTTAAATATATAAAACAAAATAGTGTAAATATCCTTTAAAAAGATATATGCCTCATTTTGCAAAACAAATTAAATAGACTACCTAAAAAAGATTTTTAAATAACATTTCTAAACAGTTTATTTACTATTTTAAAGACATTTAGTGACATTAAAAGGATAGATTCCCAAACGCAAAAGTTTCAAATAAAACTTATAGTAAAAAAGGACATTCCTCGTTCAGGATAAAAAAGGACAAATTGGCAGCACTTTCTTGGAAGTGTGTCAGGGTTTCTATTTAGCTGTCAGGCGCTTAATTATAGTTTGAAAAAGGTTCCAACGCGTGTAAAAGTGGGGAGCAAAGAGTGTCAGACAAACAAAAACTAAGCGGGCCGAAAGATATGGCGCATAGCGGAGACAGAGACGGAAAAGTAATAAAAAACCAACTGAAACCAAATTACACTACTCTCTCATATAAATGTATATATTTTTAGCTCTTGTTTCAGTTTGGTTTTTCCTTGAATTCTTTTTTAAATATATATATTATTTTTGGTTTTGGTTTTGGTTCTAGTCTGTTGTAGTCTTGTTGTTTGTTGGGAAATAATAGGGAATAAATTGGGCCCAGGAGCCCGCACAACTCATACGGATATATATAGAGAGAACATAGAAGTATTAGTGTTATGTAGCCAGAGAAATTTCCACCTGTACCTATCTCACCTGCAAAGTCGCCGGCAATTCTCCGGCGTACGGCGGCACACGGACGATCCGTCTTCTCAAAGCAACGGCACCACTCCCGCGTATTGATCGCACTGTCCGTGTCCAGGTCACAGGTGTCAATGAAGGGCTTAATGCAGCGCTCGTTCTGGTCATGCTCCAGGTCATACATCTCCTGCAGCGACAGCTGTCCATCGTTGTTCAGATCCAGATGGCCGAACATCCACTTGGCCTCCGTCTTGCAGGCGGGCGGGAAATGGGCTCGCGACTTCTGGCTATGTTGGCGACGCTTCTTGCTGTCGGCCATGATCACGGAGAACCAGTCCAGGAGGCGGTTTCCAATGGCGGTCAACTGCTGGGGCTTGCACTCCGGTGACTTCGAGGGGTAACCTACAAATCAAAGGATATATTTAGGTGTATTTTTAAGTAATTATAATAAAACTTACCATTCAAGTTGTTGTTCTTACTAAACTTTTGCTGCTGCTTCTCCACCACCTCATTGTAGTTGCGCATCTTGTGCTTGTCCTCCTGGTACTTGGAGTCCTGCCAATCACCGAGAGATTAAATTATAAACAAGCTGGGATATTGATATACTCACCTTCTTGTATGCCGTGTACTTGAGGTATTTGTAATGCTTGTTATCGTACTTGATCTCCTCGGGCGTGAATGTGTACTGGGCATTGATGTGGTTATAATGCCGGTTGTTATCCTCTTTATCCTGTGGGTAAGGAATATCCATATTAGTTTGACGCCAAAAGGTATAGGCTATTAACTTGCATTCATGATCGTATTGAAGTCATTGTTATTGCCGCCCATGATGTTGCCGCTGCTCATCATGATGTTGTTGTTGCTGCTGTCCTTGTAGGCCTGCTGCTGCTGCTGTTGCTGCTGCTGCTGGAGGTCCTGGCTGCTCTTCTTGTTGTACTTGTTATAGCCTGAAATGCGCTGCAGTCGCTTGCCATCGACAGCCTCTACAAAAATAACAAGTGGAGGGGAAGAAAAAGTGCCAAAATGGCAAAATGTTGGTGGTGAAATCGCTTGGCCAGGCCAACTTTTTGCATCCCGGCTCAGTGAGGCATACCCCCATACATTTTCCGGGTGTGTTTTCTGCTTTATTTTGTTTTTAGCTGCTCTCTCAGCCATGCAAAATTGAAAATTAACGTGGCTGCCGGGCCACCATAATGGTGGGGTAGCTCAATGGTAGAACAATGGCGGCGGCTACTTGTTCGCCGGCCTATTAAATATTTAACAAGTGTTTCGGAAGCCTGGCGAAAAAATATTTAAAGCCAAAGCCTTTGTTTGGTAATTGGAATTTTTAATTGCTGCGAGTCTAGGAAATCGCAGCTAGCCAGCTTTTTCTAGCATACTTTCTGGGGCGGCCAACTCCCGCCACCGAGCCTGTCACGAAATATATGCATGCAATTTATTTTGTAGTCCCCGAGTCCGGTGTGCCAGAGTTCCATGGTCCTGGCAGATTGCCAGGCTGGAACTGAAACTGGAACTGGTGTTGGTGTTGGGATCTCCTGGCTGGAGCTCATTATGCTGGCGGGGCATTTGATTCTGGTTTGGGGCCAGCAGCATTGCCTGGCTGTATTTGTTCGTTTCCCGTTTGTTGTGGAAATGAAAAGAAAGGAGTAGGGTTCCTGGGACTTACCCTTGCAGGGACAGAATCCTTTGCAGGCGATCCGTATGGACGTCGAATGTATGCAATTGTGATAATCCAATCTGCATAGTGATGAGTAGGTCCTGTTGTCGGCGCCGCACAGGAACGTCGGCTTGGCCACAGGACACGGCTTGCAGTTGCTACAAGAGGGCGAAAGTCGGGAGTTAGAAGAAATCAGGAGCAGTAAACTCAGGGGGGCGCAACGGCAACAAATAGATGACATGCAAAATTAATTTTTATGCAAATGAAGTCTGCGTCCATTCCTCCTTATCTCTGTCCACATGTCCCCTATCCTATGCCTCCTCTTGGCAGGTGAGCGAAGCGGAGCTCTGCTTATACATTTATTTAAATATTTATTTAATATGCGCTGCACGCACGCCCGGGCAAACACAGTAGAGCCATGAGATTGGCCAGGGAACGGAGGACTCGGGAACTGAGACTCTGAAACTTATTTAATAATTTGAGCAAATATTTAAACTGCCAACAAGAGGCCTTTGGCCATTCTCATGACTTTATGTTGAGCTCGAAATAGAGGTCTCGGGTAAGTGTGAGCCCATTTTAATTACCCTCTAACGGAGGCTCTCCTTTATCCTCTGTCAATCAATCATGGTTCAGCCCTTGGCAATTATTTTAAAAGAAAATCACACCCTTCAATCATCACGTTACATCCTTTTTTGCTCTACATTGAAAACCAACACAAAGATTATTTCAATTAATAGCTGCTGCCATTGCTACTGTTCGTTCAATAGATAAAAAATTACACTGGCCTGCGTTTTTATGGCACTTGGTATGGCTTTAATTGGCTGGCCACGAGTTCACACCACCAGGCATCCATTCGTCCTATTTCATAATTTGTATTCACAAATATATATATATATCTGTATAAAAGGAGGCTTTTTTGCACGACTTTCGACCGGTATCAAATGAAATTTGCACATTTATTCGGGGTGTATTTCGAATGAAAAGTAATTTGCCTAATTGCCCCAATTCGGCGGCTATATGTTAATTAGAGGCTTTCCATTGAACTTTTTTTTAATTTCATGAAATTATTAATTGAAAATTTGCCGCCAGTACAGCGCTAGTTTTAGCATAGTCCCGGATTCGTTTTGGGGCTTAACACATTTAAGCTTCATTCGATTTATTCCTGGCCTTTATTGTTTCCAATGCATGCAATGTTTGCTCTTGCTAAATACAATTTAAATAAACCTTGGGTATGCAAGAAATTGAATAAAAATAAAAAGTATTGTTAGGAGGATTTGTCAAAGGGATTCGGTTATGGCAACGTTTTAAATTGTCCAATTCCGTTGCAGAGCCAATGTAAACGTACCGATGGCCAAAACCCAATGTAAACATATATGTGTGAGGGATATTTGTAGCCGTTCGCTCCTTCACTTCTCGCTTTTAATTAAAAATTCTCTCGCATGTTCTTTTGCCCGCTTCCGTTTCCTGCCTGCGCTTCCATTTTTGTTTGCGCTTCTCTCCGCCGGATTGTTTATACAAATTTAATGAAATTCTTAGGGCCAAGTAAATAGTGAGACGAATGAGCCCGTTAATTCGGGACGGACATTTTCGGCCACAGCCAATGACAGGCAGCAATCTTGCATGGCCTGAGCAACATCTGCGGTTGCTTTGAGCAAATTGCCCATCAAGCTTGATGCCTGTCTCGGTGTCTCTGTGAAAAAATGTGTAAATTTTTACTCAAATATTTGCTTTCAATTTTGCAACCCAATCCCCCGGGGGAGGCGGTCGAGATTCGGGGAGGGTCTCCCGCTCCTGCTCCTGCTCCTGCTCCTGCTGCGACTCCTGCTCCTTGAGCTGCTGAAGCCGACAGCTTCATGTGCATAGACCACAAAACAGCTCAGTGGTCTCGAATAACTGCCGGAGACAGGCATCGCACATGGCACACCGCACACACACCCCCTTCCCACGCATACACACCAGAAGCTGAGTTGTGGCAGGTTGAGGTGAGATCTGAACTATGTGCCTCCGTCCGAGCAAATGCCTCTAGGAATCTCTTACACTGGACCTCTTTTATTTTTAAAAATATAATTTCAAAGAGTATTAAATATATTTGATCTTATTTAAGTGAAATCGAACATCATTAAGTGAAAAATATAAACCCTTTGGCACAGACATCATCAAATTCCCCCATTTCAATCAGTGAGTAATATGTAAATCCAATTTGCAACCACTGTGCGCTGTTGGCATATTGTTGCAACAAACAATGCTTGCCCCACACACATATGAGTTATGGCTCGATCCCGCTCTCCAGCTGTGTGGGTATGCTTTCTCTTTGGGTCTTTGGAAAGTGGTCTATTAGAAGGGCCCCCCCAACCAGTGACCCCTTCGCCGAGGCGAGCCTTTTGTTTGTCTTGGAAAGACGAGAACTGGAGCAGCTCCTGCTGCCATGATGCCATGATGCCACGATGCCATGATGAGTGGCAACCGCCGGCTCAAACTATTGATTTTGCCCGAGGCTCGGCGTGACACATTCATATTTCATGCCATTGACATAGATACACAAATGCCAGGCATGGTGCGCGGGGATTTTTCGGGTGAAAGGAAAATTGAAAAGGAAAATTCGTAAACACAAAAGCAGTGGCAAAAAAAAATATATGTCAAAAGCCATTGTTAATGTCATCGCTGGGAGCAGAACGAATCCCCTCATGGGGGCGTCATGGTTGGGTCGCGTGATTTGCCTATAGATTGATTTTTACACTCCAACACCCGCACAGTCGCTCACTTTGGGAGGACGGAAGGACGAGCAGCAGGAGTAGGTGTGTGGTGTGTGGTGTTTGCCAAGTGGATTTTAATTCAATTACAAAAGCCCTGGGATACAGGACTCAAAACAACAAGGCTTCGAAGCTCTTCTCAGTATTTGTTGAAATTTTCACGACATTTATTTGCACAAGAATTCTCCGAAATTAATTTTTCATTCTAGAAATTACGTCAAAGGATCAAAAACGAAAACTTTTTCGGCTGCTTTTCCCCTCATTTTTTCCCCACCACCGTGCGGTTGTCAAGCAGCGAGCATAAAATTAAACTTTGTTCAAACAAAAGACCAACTGATAACAAAGGGGGAAAATAAACAGCAATTGGAGTTGATTTTTATTCTTCCTAAACACATTTGGTGGGAACTGTATTTCAAAGGATTCTGAAGTGGGTCAAAGGGAAACACGTTTGCCAAAATAAAGGTAAAAAATGTGTGCTAACAATTACTGTGTTTGTAACAATTATCAAATAAATAAAATTGAAAATACATGAATCCATACTACTTTTTCAGTTGTGGCAGTTGCTTTCTCTTTAAGTAATCGATACTTTCTGGGAACTTCTTCTTGAAATTTTATGTACTTCGCATAAGCCAAAAAATAAATTTAACAACGGAAATCGACGTTGCCAACAATTTCCTTTTTCGCCGCGGGGTAACAATCGCAACCCTTTTGTTTGTGGGAGAAGCCAGGCCAATCGAGCCTTGACATCGACTTGACTCGACTTTGACTTCATTTCCAGGGCTCTCCAGCTACCACACCTGATCCTGGCCTGCTCCTGGCGCCCTGGCCCCTCCTTTTGGGGGGCCCTTTTTTTGAGGCTCTGCTCGCGTGCGAGTCCACAATTTGGGTTAGGGTCAAAGCGATAACACGGAACAAGTCAAAGGATCCGACGACGGCACGCGTCAAAGGGTAAAGGCCGTAAAGCTGTCGTTGCGGCCCGTTCAAGCAGTCAACCAGTCAACCATTCAGCCATTCAGGCAGAAGTATGCCAGCCAACAACGATAACGGCCCGAAAGGCAAAAGTGGCAAAAAAAAAACAGGCCAGGGACCAGGCTGCGTGCTAAAAATTGTAGCACTGTAAATTTATTGCGGAATTTTTATACACGATAAAACAATTTGTTATTAGCATGGCGGCCGTGGAAATCAGGGGTAATTCGGATCGTGGCCGAGCCTTGATGTCAAAGGTGACCCACTCCGACTCCGACTCCAACTCCCACTTACACTCCCACTCAAATCAACCCTTTTTTGTGTACGCGAATTTGCTTAATGAAATGTAAAATCCCATTCGAAGGAAAACGCAAAAAGTTAAGACTAAAAGTTAAGTACTCCAATGCTGCACTGAGAGAAATACAGAGGAAGCTTCTTAAGCTATAACATAATAAAAAAATGGAACTAACTTAGGGCTGAAGAAACTGATATAACTTTGAATTTTCAATTGAAATACATATAGTATAGAATCGAAAATTTATCATTATTAAGTTTAAAATATTTGCATTTTTTTCTAGGTATTTTAATATGATAATTTTATCAACAAATCAGAGTTTTAAAATCTCATAACTAAGCCAAAAAAGCATTAATTTACTTTCGGAAAACATTCCTATGTTCGTTTTTATTAGATTAATAAATATGCATACCAAATTAAAAATTTACAAAAATTCGATTTTTTTCCAATTATTGAAAATTTTAACGATGTAACCCCTTAACAAATTTTCAAATTTTTAAAAAAATTAATTTTTTCCCGGACATTGCTAGATCGGTTCCCCTGTTCATGCTGATCAAGAATATATATGATTTATAGGGTCGGAAAAGACTAGTTCACATCGTTATAAGCCTCTGACTATACAAGGGTTTAAAAATCAAGGATAAATACCCTAAAAATATATTTCACAGTCAATTTTACCAGTCTTTTGTCAAAATATCAAATTTTTCTGTAAATCTCAAGATCTGTCTCAAGTTCTGTGTTTGATTCTGCAAAATCCCTCATGATTTTACCATCAGATAAGTCCAACTTTGATAAGAAATCATATCGAAATGTTAAACAAGTTTCAGTGTACTCACTCCAACTCCTCGTCGTCGTCCTGCTGGATGGCAGAGGGTCCTGCTGGTGCCTGGGATTGCTGCTGCTGTTGTTGTTGTTGCTGCGACTGCTGTTTATCGCTGGCGGCAATGCTGTTCTCATAGAAGACATCATCCTCCTTGGACTCATCCTCGTCGCCCAGACTGAGGCTCTTATCTTCGTCGTCGCTCTCCTCATTGCCCTGGACATTGGCCTGGACGGGGCTGTTGCCGGGATTGCTGCTGCTGCCACCGTTGAGACTGCTATCGCTGCTGTTATCCTCGTCGTCGTTGTTGATGTCCTCCGCATCCTGGCTGTCCTGGTTGTCCTGCTGGTTGACACGCCGCTTGGCCTCCTCCTCCAAGTACTTGGCCTTGCTGATTATCTCATCGCTGAAATGGTGATGGTTCGCCACAAGAGCGGTGTTAGTTTAGAGTGCCGGCGGCGGCAAAGACCGCAAAAGTTTCAATTTAATTGGCTCATCAAGCCTAACAACAGCCATCAGGGCGGAATTTTCCCGGAAAACCTACCGGTTCTTGTGCAGCTCCTTCTTTGACACGCACACGGCGCTGAACTCGTCCTCGAGCAGGCAAATTTCACGCTTCTTGCAGTTCAGCGGTCGGCAAAGGTCACCTGCAGGCATTTGAGTTTAATTTATTAATAGCTGTGCGATAACACACTGCCACCCGTTCGTCCTTGGTCCTTGGTCCTTTTTTTTGTGAACCTAATTGGACGTTGCCAGCGGGCAAATGGAGTGTGATTCTCCTAGCTTACTTACTCGACGGATCATGAATCCAACGCTTGTGTTCCCCCAGATTCTTGTTGCTCTGCGTATTTTTGTTTATCTGGAAATAGAGAGAGAGAGAGAGCACAATAAATTGCACATGAGACAGTTGCTAGTTTAATTTTGTTATTTAAATGCATAAAAAATGCAAAGGCAAACTGACGTCTGTCAAAATTCACACATGCAACGGCAACCTAACAACAAACACAACCCATTCAGACTCACTGAGGCATACACACACACACACACACACACACACACAGGGCTCGGTGGTACACAGGGCGTATGCGTAATGGCAGGACATTGTGGCATTTGCATTGCAGGAGGCAGGGGCAAGTTAAAAAGCAAACAGTATCGAGGCAGAGGCGAAAAAAAATATATGTTCAGGACAGCACAGGATTTGCCTGTGTGTGTGTGTGCCTTTCTAATGATGATCAATAGTTCATCTGTTATGGCAACAAATGGAGCTGATGGGATGTGTGACTACAGATGGAGATTCAGAGATTAATCCATAGAGCGTGCTCGGAATCAACAGACGAAAGAAGAGCTTTTTGCGACAAATACCTAAATTGCTTTTTGGATAAACGAGAATTCTGTGCACCGAAAAGAAAAAGGAGAGAGTGAGCATATGCAAATCTGATTGAAGGCAACACACTCACTCGCCTTGCTTAGTTATGCGATACTCGGCTCTTTGCCGAGCAGATTTATTTTAATTTAATTCAATTTAGTACGCAGCTTAAGCGCACACACACGACCACAAATGTTGTATTTTGCACTTGTGAGGCGAACCGAAATGTTATTAAGTGCAATGGTGCGTATGCATAATATTTAACTTGTCTATAAAATTTATGATGCACTAACAGCATCTGCAGCAACACAAATAGCTGCTGCCACCTCGACTGCCGCCGGTTAAACGGGGAAAATAAGCTACAAAAAATAGCAAAAAATAAATTCCCTTCCCCTTGCCCACGCCCACGTTGACTTGACAGTTTTGCAATGGCGTCCTGGCCACTGTCTGGTATTCCGTATCCGGTGTCCTGTGTACGCTGTGTGTGTTTGTTGTTCGAGTTGCTGTTGCAGCAGCTGATACTGCCATCGCTGCTGTCAGTTGGCTTAATGAAAGCGACAGGAGCGGAAAAAGCAATGGCAACAGAATGCTTCGAGCCTTTTGGAATCCAACGAATTTCGACACAGTGATGCCCCGTTTTGTCTCTTATGGATTTAAGGAAAAAATAATATACTCACAACTTAATAGACAAATAAAGTAAATCTTTAAAGGCATGTCTTTACTGTTCTAGTTTCTATTTAAGTCCTCATTTAAAAATAGACTTATATAGGTCACTCTGTAGTGTGTAACACACTGATGCACCCCATATAGAACCAAGCCAACGAGGAATTGCTCAAGTGCGAAGTGGCAATTGCGGGACACACATCCAATGGCACAAAACCCTCCTCGACCACGTCCCCATACCTCAGTCAGCCCATCCTCAACCCATTTCCACCATCGGCCAACTGTAATGCAATAAACTCGTCCTGGACGTGGACGCAGGCAATTTGCATGCGTTAAAACGCAATTTGTGCGCGTTTCCTGGTCGCGGTTGCAGCATGCCTTTACCCTTTTTCGTCCCTTTTTTCCCGATCCCCTCACTTTGCGCACTTTTCCTGCCCAGTTTTCCCGCCTTTTCGGGGGATTCCATGGAGAGTCTTCATCGCCAAAGGATCTCTCACGGCTTTAACACGCTCGCCTTTGATTGCATTGCGTGAGTGCACAGTGAACAAAAATATTGATTTAATTAAATCTGTAAGGATTTGTTTTTATTTTTATATGCAATTTGTTAATATATAAATAGTGGTTTTTGTATAGCTTATAAATACAGGTCATGACCCCATTCCCTTTATGTTTTAGTTAGCTTACACAACTAACATTTTCCTTTCCATTTCATTGCGTTGCATATTTTAAATAAATAAAGGGCACAGAGTTAAGCCGGATCAAACTATTCTTAATAGGATTATGGCAGAGTAGAGTCAATGCCTGCCACAAGGGATATACATATGTAAGTGATCCTGTTTGGTTTTCCTTGTTTTTTCCTGTGTGTGGATCTGCGGCCAGGTCCGTTGATTGGGCAGTTTGGGAATCCGTGCGACCTGATGCTGTGGCACTCCGTTTGTTGGCTTTAATTGCACTGCGTTTGCTGCGGTGGCGGTGGCGGTGATGATGGTATTGGTGGCCCTGGTGGCTACTCCTGCTCTGGATGCTCTAGAGGTGCCGGTGGTGGCCATATGATTGACCTTATTGTGGCTTTTTTGGCGGGGGTCGCGTGATAAACCTGCGCACAGCTGTTGCAACGGTGACATGACCCACCAGCATAACATAATATTTACAAAAAATAAAAAGAGAAATGCAACTCTCTCCATCACTAAACTGGGTCAGAACAGCAGCTGGGTTTCCCGCCCAGCATCATAATGCAACAGCAGCCGGAAGGACAAGGAGCAGGGAAGTTAAGTTAGGTATAAAGCCAGGCCACCCGCGTTGAATTTTCCGAGGCGGCGGAAGACCACCCGCGTTTGTTGGCCAAAGTTTGCCAGCCGTTTAACCTCTTTGCAAAGATTTCTGGCTGTTTAAGTGGCTGAGCTTATTAAAGCCCACTTAATTGGTCTCCTCCAGCGGCGCCCGGCAAGTGCATGTCTTCTAGCGAAACTTGACCCTAATTTGGAGGCCCCGGAGGAGCTCAATGAGCTCCGGCTTCTTGGAAAATATTTTCCGCGGGTTTTGCTGCTGGGGTAAGAGATAAAGGGGCGGCATTGTTACTGAAGCCATTTTTTTTTTGTTTTTTGTTTTTTCGTTTTTCTTTCCGCCACTGCAGCTGGCCACGCCCATAGCCCACCGCCCACCGCCCTTAGCACGTTTCGACCCACATTCAAACCCCCTTTTTCGCCGCAGTGTGGCAATCTGTCAAGCTTTAAATTGAATTTACGACTTTGTTTTCGTTGCGGGCTTATTTCATCTTCCTTTGTTCGCCGCTGCCCGTGCAATTTTCTTGCAATTTCTTTATTGTTTTCTCCCGGCAAGAATAGCAAACATTCTTGTGGGTTACCCAACATTTGGGGAACTGTCAATTTCGGCTGCATTATGTAAATGTAATTTTTAAATTTCAGTTCCGCAATCGATATCTGCCACGAGATGTTCTAAGCCTTTGTGCTCCATTTAATTTCCACTCATGCATTGATTCATGCAGATTTCAGTGGAATCGATCGTCTCTGAATATATGTACATCTATACACGTATATATCCCCATGGCACATAACTCATTGGCGCATTCAGCGATTCAGCAATCAGCGCGGAAAAAAGGACCAAAAAGGAGGCAAAAATTCGCATTAAATCCGCATTTCCCCCCCCCCCCAGTTGCCATCTATTTTGCAGTTGAAATTTTTGGGGAAATTGGAATTGGGCGTTGCTCGTTTCGCGCTGGAAATTGTTGTAAATTATTCAGCGGACATCAAATGACTGCCAATGATGGGGGTTTGCTCTGGCCTTCCGGCCAATCAATAAAATATGAACGCGGTTTGGGGTCTGCAGTGCCATAGTTTTGCCGCAATTAGAGCACAAGAGATTGAGGAGTCAGGAGGAGGAGGTGAAATGCGAAGGGGTATCCATCCATTGATATGCTAAATACAGGCCCGCAAAATGACCAACTGACTGACTGGCTGAAGCTCCGGTCTCTGAATTATGCACTCCACTTGAAAAATGCATTAGCTGGGAATTTATGTGTCTCTCTCTATATATATAGGACGTGTGTCCGTGTCCGTGTCGGTGTCCCCAATCCTCGCAGGCCATCATCCATGCTGAGTCAGACGGGATGGTATTCAGGCTCTGGCGGGCACATAAATTGCACATTTTCGTGCACACAAAATGGTAAATCAATTCCTATTACTATTACCGCCCGGCTAAGCCGGCTGTCCGGGCTCTCTGGGCTGCCACATTTCCGGAGCCGTATCCGTTGCCGCATCCGGATCCTCCTGGTCCGGGTCCGGGTCAGCAGGAGGCTGGCACAGGCACAGCGGGTGAATCCATCAATATATGGCTTAGTTCTGACTCTGGGTCTGGGCTTTGCGAAAGTTGTGAAGTGTCTGTCTGAGGGCCCCGTCCTGGCCTTTGGGCCAGGAAATTGCATTCTTCGGGGCAAAAGTGTCACAAGAAGTCGTGGCAAACAAATCCCCGGTTTGATGGGTGATGGAAACGGTTAGTGGGAGTGGGAAAGTTAATTGCTATTACTCAACCCCGAACGGGAGCGAGAACCACCCGCCATTAGTTGTGGGCGCAGTTGGAGACTCATTAAATGAGCTGTCAGTGGCGCTGTCACATGCATAAATTACACAATAATCTCATTTTAATGGTTAATTAAATTACCATAACGTTCAGCTGTCAAAACGGACATCAGATTGCGGGCAAGGGGGCCGTGACCTGGCCGTGAGTGATTCGTTAAAACGGAAAATTGCGAAATTGCAGCGCAAATATTTGTGTCGGAGGCAATAAAAAGTATTATGCGATTCGTGCATTAAATAAACCATGGCGTGTCCCAGGAGTTTCGTGTCCCTGCCGCCAGGACAATAAACATGGGGCACCTGGAACGTGCCACGACCAGCAGCAGCAGGAGCAGGTTCCGGGGGGATCCTTGCCAGGCCTAGCATGTGTGGGGGTGTGGCATTGGGGGCGTTATGTTTATGCATCATAAATGCATTCTGCAGCTGCCCGGACTGAAACGAAACCGCATTGCAGTCATAAAACATTCGCAACAGCGGCGACTACAAAACAGGCAAAAATTGCAACAAATTGCAACTGGCTAGGGGTTGGGGAAAAACACAAGCAGCAACATCCCGGCGAACAAAGGCCACTAAAATGTGCTTACCTATGTGGAAGAGATACTCGCTACACACCGACATCCGCCAGATACAAGCTTGCAATTCGTATTTATAAACACGCTCGCAAAAAAAGAACAAAAAGGAGGACGGCACTCTAAAAGCCACTGCTCTCCTGGGGGATTGGTAGTGGTTACCATCTGA